AGGGAGGGAGGAGAGAGAGAGTGGGAGCGAGTAGAGGGAGAGTGAAACAGAGAGAGAACAGGGAAGGGAAGGAAAGGAAGAGGGAGAGGGAGAAAACAGGCCTGGGACTCGGAGCCTTTGAAAGGTAGCCCCTTACAGCCAGAATTTATCAGTAATGCCCCTCCCCCGCCCCCATTATATAATGTGCCATACGAGGCACAAAAGGACTTACAGGATGTCACCCCCAAAGCAGATGCATTTGAATGTTCACAGCAGCTTTACTCATAATTGCTCCAAACTGGAAACAATCCAGTGTCCATCAGCAGGACAGGCACAAACGGTGGTATATTCACAGGATGGAATACTATTCAGCACTAACAAAGAACGAAACGCTGATATACACAACCACGTGCGTGAATCTCTCAGGCCCTGTACTGAACAAAAAGTACAAAAGTACATCCTGTATGAACCCATTTAAGTCGGAGGGCAGGCAAAACCAGTCTCTAGTGATGGAAATCACAGCAGTGTTTTAGAAGGGGCCCGAGGATTGATCTGGAAGGGGCAAAAGGGAACTTTCTGGGGTGACAGAAACATTTTCTTGATCGGGATGTGATGTAGGTGTGTACATTTGTTAAACCTCAAACTATGTACTTAACCATGGATGCAGTTGATTGTATGTAAATTATAGCTCATAAAGCTAATTTTTGAAAGGTCATGTTTATTTTTTTCTCCTGCTGTGTTCTAAAATGTATTTAATGGGGGATGTCCTTCCCCTATAACTTGGATGAAGTAGAGGGTACTGATAATACCTGTCATTGGAGGAGTTAATACATGAAAATGCTGGTGATTTTGGTTTTCATTGTTCCTGTATTTCTTTTGCATAAGGATGAGAGGCCGGAGAGACAAGGAAACTGGTTTTCCAGATGACTTTGCATGTCCCAGCGATGCTCAACCATTATTAGTCCTTTTAATGCCCTGGTCAGGATAAGCCAGTCACAGGGTTACCCTGGCCTCATGAATGAATTGGGAAGTGTTCCTTCTTTCCCCGTTCTCTGGAAGAGCTTGTGTATCATGTGTATTATTTATTCCTTAAATGTTTGGTAGAATTGCCATTGAAGTTAGCAGGCCTTGGAGGTTTTGTTGCAGGAAGGTTTTTGATGATTGATTCTGTTTTGTTTTTTTTTTTAACAGATACTGAAATATTCAGCTTTTCTCTTCCTTTCTCTGATAGTTGAGTAAGTTATGTTTTTTGAGGAGTATTTCTATTTCCTCTAGGTCATCAAATTTACTGGTATCAAGTTGTTCATACTAACCCCTTTATTGTCCTTTTGACACTGTAAGATTAGGTCAGTTTATGAGGGTGGGAGCCCAGCGTGGGATTATAGCCTTTGGAGAAGGCGAGCTTTCCGCATGCACACAGCGGGTAAGGACCAGGTGAGGAGGACGTGATGAGAAGACAGATCTGTAAGCCGGGAAGAGAGCTGTCACCCGAACCCAAATCTGCTAGTACCTTGATCTTAGATTTTCCAGCTTCCGGGATTGGTGGGAAGTAAATGTCTGTCTTTCCAGCCTCTAAGCCCCTGGTATTTGGTGATAGCAACCTGAGCTAAGACAGACCTCTATCTTCTAAACCAGGACAACTGTTGGTCTGGCAGGTGGTATATAAAAAACAAGATAGATGTGGCATGTCTTCCTGAGCCAGCAGCAAGATCCGGTAGAAAATAATTGTATATTTTTAAAAGATAGCTGCATTATGGAACATGATACCAAACATGGGTTGAAAATGTCAAGTTTGCAACAGAAGGTGACCCAGATTCTTTTTTGGGGGGGGTGGTTTTACATGGATGTTCTGTCTGGAAGCTTGCAACAGTGTACTGGAGTGTCTATCCCAGCTCTTGAGACCCGATTGCCGAGTTTTTGAAATTTTGCTAGCCAGTTGTACACAGAGATATTTAAAATGAAATTATACAAACTTGTGATTCAATATATTAAAACAAAAGTAATAGTTACTCAAAGTTCACCGCTTGTTGATTGGTTTACGATTATCTAAGCTCTTGAAGATTATCTGTGTCTCTCTATTGACACCAATATGTATGGAGGAAATGCCGTGTAGGGGAGCGAAACTGCCCCTCTCGTGCCAACCCTGTGTTCAGTGATGTCACTTGATAGCTTGAAATCAACCATGTGCGGGCATTTACACCTAGAAATTGGCAAACACTGCAAATCAGGGCTTAACTTATTGTTGTGTTGCTTGTCTAGTTTTGTTTTTGTTTTTTTTTTTTTGAGAGAGAGAGAGGGGTGAGGGGGGAGCAGAGGGAGGGGGACAATTTTAAGCAGGCTCCATGCCCAATGCGATCCCAACGTGGGGCTCCTGGGATCGACCCTGAGATCATGACCTGAGCCAAAATCAAGAGTCGGACACTTAAGCGACTAAGCCACCCCGGAGCCCCTGCTTGACTAAATTTAAGAAAGTAATGGAAAATGTTAATAGTACAGATGAAACGTAAAATGCGTTGTGTCTACAGCAGTTACATTGTGAATAGCCCCCCAAAATGAGGACTTATTCTTCCAGTATTTGAAAACTATCATTTAATTCAGTAAAGAAGTGGCTCACATCATTGGTGAACAAGTGAGTTTCTGACATACTTCTTTGTTTCCGTCTTGTCTTAGTCATTAATGTAAATAAAAATATAAGCTGACATTCATAGTAAAACTAAGTTCACTCGTCAATGACATGAGTGACTTGGTTAAACGAAATAGTAATCAAGAATTTCTACTCACAGGGGCGCCTGGGTGGCTCAGTCGATTAAGCATCTGCCTTCGGCTCAGGTCATGATCCTGGGGTCCTGGGATCGAGCCCCACATCGGGCTCCCTGCTCAGCGGGGAGTCTGTTTCTCCCTCTGCCCCTCCCCCTGCTTGTGCTCTCTGTCTCTCTCTGACAAATAAATAAAATCTTAAAAAAAAAAGAATTGCTACACACACACACACACACACACACACACACACACACACACACACACAAGCTTTCCAGTTGTTAAACATTTACCAATATACCTCTGCTTGAGGGAGACTTAGTAGGCAGAGCCTGCGAGGGTCACTCGAGTTTGAGAAGAGCTAGTCACAGAGGACTCTTCTATTATCGGCATGGTCAGATTTGCTGGCTAAAGGGCAGTGACTGTGTCTCACTCAAATTCCTGGTCTCAACTCCCAGCCAGGTTGTTGAGAAAACAGGATGTGTTTTCAAGGTATGCAAATGGGTGCGGGTATGTCCCAGTCCCCCTGGCTCAGTAAATGGCAACCTCATTCTTCCCCCTGCTGAGGCCAACAACTGGAATTCCTCCTGGTTGCTCTTTTTGCCTTACACATCCTAACAGATCCTCGGCAAAGCTGTCAGGCTCTCCCTTGGATCTAGACCCCGAATTTGACCACTTCTCACTACCTCCACCACTCCCCCAGACCCTAGTCACTGGTAATCTTTGCTTGGATTATTGCCAAAGCCATTGGTCCCTCGGATCCTGCCCTTGCCCCTCTGTCAGATGGATTAACTAGTCCTAGTGTCTGCATGTAGCTGATGCCTGACTGTGTAGCTGAGGGTAAGTTCTACTAGGATGGTGCTTGTTAGGATGGAATTCAGTCCAATGTCCTGTGGACACTGAATGAAGTCAACCAAACCTACTGTGAGTAAGAAGTAAGAAGCATAAAATGGCACCAGACAGCATCAAATTCAAGAAATAGTCTGTGTTTCCTGGAACATGCAAGGACATTGCCTTGAGAGAGCATAAGAAAGAAAGTCAGGACTATGAGTAATTTTATTCAAACAGTGACCATGTGAATAATAATAGGACACTATTGATGATGGATCCTATGAGACACTGATGTATCAGAAGTGAAGGCATTGTCATTACTGCACTCTTGTTTCTAGAACATTCCATCACCCCAAAACGTTCCTTTGAACTCCTTTGCAGCTCCTCTTCCACAGCATACACACCTCCTGCCTAAGCCTGGGCAACCACTGAGCTGTTTTGTTCTGAATCTTTAACATTGGATTGTCAACTGGTCATAGGTTCTAGTATTCTGCTGGTAACAGCTGGGGGGTATTTGATTAAGAGCGATGGCTCTGGAGGGAGATTGACTTGTTTCTGCACAATCATTGTCTTGCTAGTGACCTTACATCTCAGCTTCCTACTCCATAAAATGGGGATACTCACTCCTCTGGGATTTTGTGAGGATTACACAGTTCCTGGTACTTAATAGCCCCATACATATTGCTTATTATTATTACTACTTACAGAGCGTGCGCTCTGTGTTGGACATTGTGTTGAGGGCTGTGTATGGAGGTGGCGGCCGCTGCTGGTGCTCTCTCCACATCTCCATTGGCACTCACCATCCTGCATCTGCCAGTAGCTTCCTACTGAAACTGAGATGCTCTGCACCAGTGTGTTCTCTCACTGTATGCCGGGCAGGCCGGAAGAGTGGGGAGTTAATGCTCCAAGGAGCAGCCTTCAACCAGTGATGGCCAGGAGTTGGCAGGTAAAAAGCCAGCTTCCTTGTCTCCCAGGAGGACAACCCTGAAGCATGCTCTACACCCTCTCCCAGGGTCCCCCATTAGGGGTGAGCCCCAGCTGCCCACAGGGATAATCTTCTCATGAATACACTGTCTGTAGTGGCTTCCGTTTCGCTTCCCTATTGCCCTTCCAGAACTTTCTGGGATCCTCTGTCAAACCATTTGCACTCTCATGCTCATCTCAGGGTCCACTTCTAAGGCAATGGCGCATTTCATGTAATCCTCAAACAGTCCTATAAAATGGACACATGTTTCTTCCCCACTGTATAGTTGAGCAAAATGAGGCTCAGACAAGTGATGTCATCTGCTCAAGGTCAAAGCTTTGGGCACTCACCCTCTCCACAGCTTCCCTGCGGAATGTGCCTTGATGGGTGCTGCCCCAGGATCTCTTCTCCCCCTGCCGCCCAGGGCTCCACTGACCCTTCTGAGCTGCATCTCCCCTGCTACCCCCTGCAGGAAGGCCGCTGCCTGTTTGTCATCCTGCTCATGGCGGTGTACTGGTGCACAGAGGCCCTGCCCCTCTCGGTGACAGCCCTGCTGCCCATCATCCTCTTCCCCTTCTTGGGCATCCTGCCCTCCAGCAAGGTCTGCCCCCAGTACTTCCTGGACACCAACTTCCTCTTCCTCAGTGGGCTGATCATGGCCAGCGCCATTGAGGAGTGGAATCTGCACCGAAGGATCGCCCTCAAGGTCCTCATGCTCGTCGGGGTCCAGCCAGCCAGGTAAGGCCAGATAATGGGTCTAGCCCAAAGGTGGGGAGGCAGGAGGACCGCATCTCTTGGAGCCCAGACTCACTCTTCCTGGTCTGGTCATCCAGGCCCACAAGCTCATCATGTCCCACCTTCCATTTACTCATTCATTCCCTGGATACGTTGTGAGCCCCATCTGTGTGCCAGATGCAGTGCCAGGCTCTTGGGCAGTTCTCAAAAGTGCAGAAGAATCCCCTGGGGAGCCAGTTGAAATGCTTATCCCAGGCCTCACCCCCAGGGATTCATGTCCCGTAGTTCTAGAGAGGGCCATCTTAGCAAGGTGACTCGGACAGCTGGGGCTGAACCCCACCTTTCCTGCTCTGGGAAATGACTTAACTTCTCTCTCTTTGCCTGTAGAATGAAACTATAATAGCTTAGACCTATAAAGTGTGATAAATCCTGGTCATGATCATCCTAGTTTGCTATTTCATAGCCCAGGCGGGTGGGGAATGAGTGGGAAGGTGGCCCCGGAGAGATGGGGAGCCAGAGGCCATCCCTGCAGGGCCTTGGGCTCCCTAGCTAGGGTTTGAACTTTCATTCTAAGAGGATTAAATGGCCTTTAAAATAGGGTTTCACTGTTCTTTTAATCTTTTTGTTTGTTTGTTTGCAATTTGTTGCATCTTAAGGATCCCTTGCTAGAATAGTATCTTTAAATGTATAAATCACACAGCACATAGGATTTAAAACAACAACCACCACAAGAAAATGCAGGGATCCAAATAAATGTTTTAAAAACAAACTTGTGACATAGTACCGTATGTACTCCTTTACGGTAAATGGTAAGATCCCTCTCGACTGGCCTAATAACAACTACATTTTGAGGACATTTTGAGTGTCAGTGGGATTCCAAGATGTTTGCATCTATTATAACACGATCTGAAAATATCCGTGAGCTTAATTGGTGACGGAGTCCCGGGCACTTCTAATACTACTGAACTTTGTTGCCTTTGTTTATCACCAAAGGAAATACCTAATTTCCATTAGAGGTTAGTCAAATAAAGATGCATTTTTTTTACCCTCTCGTTTCCATCCTAAATTATATCCACAGCCCCACTGCTTATGAATCTCTGCTTTAAAGAGCTCTAAGCTGGGGAACAACATGACCAAATTCGCATTTTTTAAAAAAATTCCTCTAGGCTGCCAGGTGGAGAGCAGATGAGGAGTGGGACTCTGGACGCAGCCCAGTTAGGAGACTGTTCTGGGTGTGCAGAAGCAGCTGTGGTGACAGCTTGGCCTGGGGTAGTGGCAGTGGAGAGGAACAGAATGGATAGCTCTGAGAGCTCTTTGGTTGATAAAATCAGTGGGAGTAGTGGTTGGGGAGAAGAAGGTTCTAGATAACGCCTAGAGTTCTAGTATTGGCTCTGTGTCGAGCACTCTGCTAGGCTCTGGAGGGACTGCCAGTCCTGTGGGAGAGATTGTATCTATAGCACTGATTCCAGTGCAAAGTGGAATTCCAACCCAAGGGGCACCTGTGGTGTGGGAGCCCAAAGGAGAGGTAAGAGGTAGACTTCTTCATGGAGCAGGTTACATTTGACCTTGAAGCCTGGGTGGGCTGCTATTCAAACATACGATAAAGTTGGAACAATGAAAACAGCATGACACTAGTCCAGAAATAGAATTTTCAATGCTGGATACATATTCTAGAAGAAATCTAAATCAGTAGGAAAGGAAAGGATTATTCAGTAAATGGCGAGGGTTGGAATAATTGGCTTATTCTTTAAAAAAAAAAAATCCACTTAGATCTTCATACTATCCATCTAGATAAATCCAGGTGGGCTAAGAATTTAATGTAAAGAAAAAAGATCATGGAGTTTGGATTCCTACTGGTGGGAGGGGCCAAGCCATGGCAGGCAGGCAGGAGATCGGGGCCTGTTGGGGTGTGTGGCTGAGTTCAGGGGAGTCTGAGCAGGTGGCTGGTAGCAGTGGGAGGGCAAGTGGGAGAAGAGGCTGGGAAGATGGTTTGGGGGCATACGGTGGACAGCGTTGGTGCCAAACCAAGGTGACCTTTATTCTGTAATGGAAACCATCAAGGACTGGGGAGCAAGGGAGAGAAAACGTCAGGGTTGGGCTATCTTTGGACTATTTTACCTTGGGTACCTGTGGCCAGTTCACTTAAACGTGTGGAGTCAGTTTCCTTAGACCTGAAATAAGGCTGGTGAGTGAATCTGGTCCCCACTTGGTCACTGGCTTGTTCTCTCTGGGCCTTAACTTCCCGTCTGTAAAACCAGTGGGCTGGATTCCCCAGGGGTGGCAAAGTGGGACCAGAGGACCTCCTGGGCCCCCGTTCTGGATGTGCCTCTAACTGCCTCTGTTCCCAGGCTCATCCTGGGGATGATGGTGACCACCTCCTTCCTGTCCATGTGGCTGAGCAATACGGCCTCCACCGCCATGATGCTGCCCATTGCCAGCGCCATCCTGAAAAGTCTCTTCAGCCAGAAGGAGGCTCAGAAGGACCTCAACTGGCCGAGTGACGAGAACACAGGTGAGGCTGTGGAAAGGGACTGGGGCAGCCCCACCAACGTGGAGGAGGGGGAGCGGGACGTCCTGCAGAGGAGGGTGAAGGGAATATACTTGTTGAGCATCTCCTATGTGCCAAGTGTTTAAATAATAATAATAATAATAACGGAGAATTAGCTAAGTCAAACCTTGATACCTTGGTTTTTTAAAAGATTTGCATTCATTGAGTGCTGACTGCATACTGAAGAGTGAAGAGTTCAACACTTTGCCTGTATCATCTCTTTCACCTCTCAAAAACAGCCTTATGAAGTAGATACTATACTTCCCCTGGGTTTTAGAGCACTTGAAGAGATGCTCAAAATCACTAATGCCAGAGAAATGCCAACTGAAACAACGAGATTTACTTCAGTGAGATTGGCAAAGATAAGAAAGCTGGACACTGCCCTATGTCGGCAGGCGTGGGGCCATGGGAACCCTTGTGTTCTGCCAGAGAGCGTATGCACTGGGTCAGGCTTTCTTAAGGGAATTCTGCAAATATTTAATCAAATTAAATGTGCACATACCCTAAAAAAAAAAAAAAAAATGTGCACATACCCTGTAACCTGACAGTTTGACTCCTGGATACAAACGCCAAAGAATTCTGACAGAGGTCCCCCGGGGGACGGGTGTGACACTGTTCACTGCAGCCTTCTCTGTGGTGTGGTGAGTAAGTAGCCATGTGAGCGGCACCACCAGTAAAGGGGAAGGTCAAGTGTGTACTGTTGAGCACCTTGCTGCTTTTAGAAGCAAAGAATTAGAGGACCACAGTTCTAGAAATGGATCTCACAAAACACAGTCATGACTGGAAAAAAAACCAGAATGAGATCTAGAAGACAATACCATGATGTAAATTAAAAATTCACGCAAGTGACCATTTTGCAAGAACGTAAGCAAACAAAAACCTACAGATTAGAGGCATCAGCATGGTTGCTCTGCAAAGGATGGGAGTGGGAAATGGGAATCGAAGGGACTAAAGAAAGAAAGAAAGAAAACAAAAGAGGGGCCTTCGTTGTACAAGGATAGTGAGAATGTGCCACCAGCTGAAGGAGTTGATTCTCTCGAACCTCAGAAACTATGTTCTAAACAAAACAAAATACAAGTAGCCGCTGCGTTCTTACATGAAGAAGCAAGGGCTCAGAGAGGGGAAGGGACTTCCCCAGGTCACACAGCAGACGAATGGCTGAGCCCAACTTTGCAGCGTGCTCTCTTACCCATGGAACCAGCTGCGTCCGTGGGAATGTAGGCAAAGAAGGAAGGTCCGTCTGCAGGTGGCTTGAAAAATAAGGGTTTGTTTTCCTCAAACATCAAGAAGGCAGAGAAAGGCAGTTCCAGGATTGATTCAGCAGCACGAAGATATCAGGACTTATCACTGGCATCTCTGTGATTCCCCAAGTCTTTCCCTCGTGGTGGCAGAGGTCTGCCACATCCTGTCTGCTTTAAAACATCTTTTTATTTACATAAACGTATTTTATGTATGTATGTATGTGTGTATGTATTTATGTTTGAGAGAGAAAGAACGTGCACAAATGCGAACAGGGAAAGGGGCAGAGAGAGAGAGAGGGAGAGAGAATCTCAAGCAGGCTCTATGTTCAACACGGAGCCCAAGCGGGGCTCAGTCTCATGACCCTGAGGATCACCACCTGAGCTGAAACCAAGAGTCCGACGCTTAACCGACTGAGCCACCCAGGTGCCCCTACTTACATAAATGTATTTTAAAAGGAAGCTTTCGGGGCACCTGGGTGGCTCAGTAAGCGTCTGCCTTCGGCTCAGGTCATGATCCCAGGGTCCTAGGATCGAGCCCCACGCAGGGCTCCCTGCTAAGTGGGAAGCCTGTTTCTCCCTCTCCCACTCCCCCTGCTTGTGTTCCCTCTCTTGCTGTGTTTCTCTCTGTCAAATAAACAAATAAAATCTTTTAAAAAAGTAAAAATAAAAGGAAGCTTTCGGTTGGTTCCTATGTGGGCAGAAATCTCTAGTTTATCCCCAATATTGAGTCTTTCTTTGTTCTTCTAGTAACAGAAGCCCCACGTGGGCACATGGCTTTGGAGAGAAAAAGCTGACTTTCCCTGCTTCCCTTGCAATTAGATGTGGTCCTGTGACTAAGTGTGGCCAACGGTATATGAGTGGGAATGGAGCGCGCAACTTCCGGGTCCTGCCCTACCCACCCTCTACTCCTGCTGGCTGGAACGTGAACATGATGGGGGGACCAGAGATGCTACCTGGGAAGCCACATGTTGAGGGATAGATGGCAGATCTGCTCCGGGAGCTCTGGATCATTTATCCCAAATAACAGAACAAACATGATTCATGAAACCACAGGCTTTGAGTGCTAGTTATGCTTTTTTGAATATGTGTTAAAATTAATATATATGTTAAAATCTAAATATTGATCCACATACCGTCCAAGTTAATCTCGTTTACTGTGGTATGGGTATTTGCCTACCACGCAGTCAGCTGTTTTGCTTAATTTTCACATCAGCCCTGAAAGCTAGAAATGATAAGTACATAAATTGATATGACCAGAATCAATTGCATTGTTGGTAAAGTAGCAGAGCCAGGACCTACGAAAGGTCAAAGTCGTCCACGTGGGAAGGAAGAGATGTTCTATAGCAGGGGTCAGAAAACTGTTTCTGTAAGTGACCAGACAGGAAATATTTTAGGCTTTGCTGGCCACACCATCACCACTGCTCAAACTGTGCCCTTGCGGAGAGAAAGCATCCACAGGCGAGATGTAAGTAAGTGGGCGTGGCTGGGTGCCAGTGAAATGTAATTTGCAGGTGCTGAAATTAAAATTGCACGTAATTTTTACACCATGAAATATTGTGCCTCTACTGATTTTCTCCAGCCGTTTAAAAATGTAAAAACCATTCTCAGTCAGTAGGCTGTGGGCCAGATTCAGCCCACAGGCCAGAGTTGGCTTCGTTCGTTTTCAGACAGTTTCCCGGGACTCTTGGGGCTTCCAGAGAACCGTGTCACCGTCCCCCTGGAGTGGTAAGAAGCAGTGAAGGTTCTGCGCCTTCTCCCATGTCTACCTCAGCTTCCCCACTTTACCTATTTTATCCACTGGGCTTCCACGTGGCAATCACAGATGTTTACTGAGCACGTACATCGTGCTGGGGCTCTTGGTAGGGCCTTACATCCGCAGAAGGTGGAGCGGGCATTGACCTCATTTAGAAGATTGGAAACTGAGGAAGAAGTTTAAAAAAAAAAAAAGAAGATAAAGTAGCTTCCAAGGTCACAGTTTCAAAACAGCGGCTCTGGTATTTTGAATCTAGGCTGGCTGACTTCAGAGCCTGAACTCTTAACCTCTGGTATTCTGCCTCATATGCAAGAGTTTTTTTCAAAGAGTCTAGTGGCCACAAAAAAAAAAAAATTTGAAGCCATTTCCCTCATTATAAAAATGAAAAATCTGAGACCCGGGAAGGGGAAGGGACTTGCTTACGGTCACACTCAGTGTTGGGTGCAAGGTGAAATCCAGAGTCTTCTCCTGAATGCTGCAGGATGTCAGGAGGAAGGAGGGCCTAGGAAGCTGGGGCAGACACCTGCTTTCACAAGTGGTGGGATCAGAGAGCAAGGATTGATTAATGATCCGCCCTAAGACCTAAAACAAGGCTAGTTCCAGCGCCAAAGAGAGATGTTCCCTTTCACGCAGTCTCTGTGCTCCGTCCTGGTGGCAGGATGTGAAGACAGGCGTGGGGGGAGTGGGGACTGTTAGTGGGCCAGGACAGGGGTGGGGAGGCTCCTGGGGGCTCTAGGTCCGTGAGGGACACCCATTGCAGCAACAGTGATGACAATGTGAGCTCTCAGTCCTGAGAGCCCACCGTATGCCAGACACGGTGCTCTTATTTTTCATACGTGTCAGCTCATTGAATCTTCATAATGGAGCTAGGAAGTAGGTGCTCCCCATTTTACAGATGAGGACACTGAAGCTCAGGGAGGCAAAAGGATTTGCCCAAAGCAACGTGGTTAGTTAGTTGCTGAGCTCTGTCTGAATCTAGAATCTGTGCTTGTAAGCACCGTGCCAGAGCAGGACGGAGCCTGGGGCAGGGCAGGGCTCACTGGACAAGACCTGGAGGGGAGGGTCCTCAATCTTGGAAAGCAGCCGTGATGTTTCCCTTCAGTTTCTTCACCCAGCTCGCCTCCCTGCACTGCCTGAGGGACTGAGGGGCCACATGGGTGGTGGCTTCTCCAGAGCCCCACGCGTGTTCTCATTAGATCCTCCTACTACAACTCTGCAGGGGTGGCTTTGTCATCGTGCCCATTTTACAGATGAGGAAACTGAGCTGCGCAGGCGCCCCCCCATTTTATGTGTGAGGAAGCTGAGGTTTAGAACAGTGGCATAACTGATCCATTCATCCATTGATTCATTAATTCCACACATTTATTGAACCCCTACTATGTGCCAAACAGTGTTCTGGGTGAACAAGACTCCCACCAGTGGAGGTTGTTCAAGGCAACAGGAATGACTGATACAAACCCGCGTGGAGCTGGGAGTCCAGGGGGGAGACAGGTAATCAACAAATAAATCCCTCTCAACTAGGGCTTGAAGGAAACTTAAGCTACACCAATGTGTAGGGTCTTATCACCAGGGTGAGCTGATCTGCATTTAGCCTTCAGACCTCTGCAGGTGGTCAGCAGGACCAGCCATGGTAAAGTGACAGTAGGCTACCATGGCTCCCACTCCCTCTAGGTACCAAGAGGGAAGGAGCAGCCCAGAGTGGAGAGGGGACAGGACTTCCCCCCCAGGCCACCTGCTGAGACAGGGAAAGAGCTGTGGCTGGAGTCCCGACCCTTCCTCCCAAACACACACCTGCGGTTACAGAGGTGGGGTGTATTATTGCTGCGCAGAAAGAGAGCGCGCGCGCCCCCGGTAGCCATGATGACCTCAGTCAGGTGTTAGAAAGGACCTCTCACGGGCTTTGGGCTGTGGCTGAGGCCTTTGTGGGGGTCTAAGGAACCTTGCTCTAGATTGAATGATGCCAGAAATCGGGGGCAATTCTACGAGTAAAGAAGTAGCAGCCATTCAATTGGCAAGAGAGGAGGACGTTTGGCATTTTGTGGGTGGCAAGTGGCTTTGGGCTAAGACAAGATTATGAAGTGCCCTTGCTGTGTCTCATTTTGTCAGTCGCTCGTAGAGCAACTCTGTCTGATGTCGGTGACGTGTAAGATCATTTAGGTCCAGCAAGAGAACAACATGGCATATCTGGGTCCGGCCAGTTCCAGACGTAGGGGGCCGCTTTCTTCTTTCTCAAGAGGAACCCACATTGACTAAATCCTTGCCAGTGTTCATATTCCTGTTAAATTCTTTCAATGGCGAGTCTGGCAAATGTTGGCCCACCAAATCTAGCCTGCTGCCTGCTTTTTGTGCAACCTGTGAGCTAAGCATAGTTTTTATATTTTTAAATGGCTGAATAAATCAAAAGAAGGATATGCTGTGACATGTGAAAAGTACATGATATTCAAATTTCGGTGTGCAAAAATAAAGGTTTAGCCACACGTATTCATTTCTGTATTGTCTATGGCTGGTTTCATGGCAGAGTTGAGTACGACAGAGGCCATAGGGCCCCAAAGACTAAGATATTTACTATCTGGTCTCTTACAGAAGAAATTTGCCAGTCCCTGCTTTAAATGGTGTCTTAATCCATTCAGCCTGCTATAACAAAAACAGCATAGATCGAGCATTTATTTTTCATAGTTCTGGAGGCTGGGAAGTCCAAGATCAAGGTGCCGGCAAATTTGCCATGTGGTGAGGGACTGTTTCTCGGTTCATAGATGGCCATCTTCTTGCTGTGTGCACATGTGGTGGGAGGAGGGGTAAAGGAGCTTTGTGAGGCATCTTTTATAAAGGCACACCTCCTGAAGTCCCCACCTCCTAATACCATCACACTGGGGATTAGGTTTCCACATATGAATTTTGGGGGGACCCAAGCATTCCGCCAATAGCAAATGGGTCAGCTCCTTAATCCTCTTGACAACCCTAGGAGAATTATTACTTCCATTTTATGAATTAAAGAACTGAGGTACAGTGAGATTAAGGGAGTTATCTAAACCTGAGAATAGGAACACTCCTATCCACTTGGTACGTTACACTAAAGACACCATGCTCTTTCCTCCTAGCTGCTGTGTGGAGGAACGGCCCGCGCCCCATGCCCACGGAGATGCAATTTCTGGCCAGCCCGGAAGAGTGAGTTCCTGGTACCGAGGAGCCAGTGCTTGACCCAAGGAGATGACAAGCAAGAATTCAGTGTTGCAAGCAATCCTCCCCCCACCCCCAGATTTTTCTCCAAATGACCTAACGCCCAGGTGTCTACCATCCATCCCTTTGGCTTGGGCATGGACGTACCCAGCCTCCTTAAAAAAACACACATGTGGATAGCAAGGGCAAAGGAGCACATTAAGTCCCTCTGGTGAGGTGGAGGACCTGAGAGGAGGCCCCAGAGGAGCAGGAATGCTCAAACTAGGTGACAGTCAAGGAGGAGAGACATGCAGACAGGCATCCAGAGCCTCTAAAGACAAAAGCATCCTAAGAGACAATCACAATCCTTCACACTTGTGTGACTTAGGAAGAAACTTTCACATTGACGGCACATTTAGTGGCTGATGTCCTTTGTATTTGGCAGCGTGGTTAAGATCTTGGGGTTTGGAGCCCTGCAGACCTGACTTTGAACCTGGCTCTGCCACTTACCGGCTGTGTAATTTGGACAAGTCACTTAATCTCTCTGAGCCTCTGCTCAGATATTGGAACCCACCGTAGAGGGTTATTTTGAGATTAAATGAGATAATGTTGAGCAAGCTTGGATCATTGCTGGGCCCTACATGCACAGATGAGGTGCTTGTTATTCATGGCTTTGTTACCTTGGGTGATAAAACAGCAGAAGTAAAGTCACCTGCTCAAGGCATTGCTGGGCATCAGTCAGGTCTGTTTTACTCATTCAACAAATATTTATAGATCGCTTACAATGAGCCAGGTACTGCCAGGGATGCAGCAACGGACAAAAGTCCAGCCCTTGTGGAGTTTACGTCTCAGTGACAAGAAACAAACACACGAGTAAAATTCACAGTATGTCAGATGGTTGGTGAGAGCCATGTGGGAGAACAATGCAGGAAAGAAGGCTAAGGAAGGGACCTGTAGGGTGTGAAAAGGCAGTTTTAAAATGAGTGGTCAGGAAAGGCCTCTCTAAGAAGGTCAGGCTTAAGCAAGCACCTATAGGAGGTAAGGGTCAGGGGGGATCTTTGGGAAGAGTGTTCCCAGCAGAGGAGCCAGCCCGTGCAGAGGTCCTGAGAGTCCAGAGCAGCCAGGAAGCCAGTAGGGCTGGAGTTGGGTGAGTGTATGGTAGGAATTGGGGTCAGTGAAATTGCTTGTGTGGTGAGGGGTGGTGGTGGAGGGACAGAGCATGAGGAACCTAATAGGCCAATGATGTAGCCTTGACTATTAATGACATGGGATCCAGTGGACGCTTTTAGCAGAGGAGGGACATGATCTTATGTCTGATTGTCTTATTCCATTGTCTCTGCTCTTTCCTGGCACTGTATCTGGGGGCTTTTAGTCCAGCTTTGAGATACGGTGTCTGTGATGGGCCCAGCCACTCATTATCGCACAACCTAGGAATCTATTTGGACCACCTGCCCACGCAGAGCTTGTGCTGAATCTAGTGGAAAAGACCCAGCCCTCATTCTCTAGAACTCCATGTCAACTGAATGCAAACCCCATTCATTGGATGGAGACTCTACGTCCATTGGAACGAAAGTCCCCTCTCTGGGCCTCAGTTTCCCCAACTGAACAAAGGGGCTTGCACTAGATGAGCCCTCAGGCCCCTTCTGTTCTCTCATTCTCATAGTGAGGCTCAGTCTGATTGGGTTCCCAGGTCTGGGGGGGGTGGTGCCCACAGTTCCTGCCAGAACTTTCCCCCTGAGAAGTCAGGCCGTGACATCGGTCTCCAGATGCTTTCAGTCCTTGTCTTCCTTCTAGAACCCAAGTCATATCCCAATTGCCTTCCAGATAAGGGGCCTCTCATGTAGTAATTAAGGCCAGAAGATATTTGAAGTATCTTTGATTCTCTTTAAAAAGTTAATTTGTTATACAGGGACAATTCTTAATTTCATTCACTTACAAAAATTTTATAATTGCACAATTTAAAAGAATACTCTTAAACAAAAAGAAAAATGTACCCAGCATCTCACTCCCAAAACGGTTAAGTGAATACTATTCTAGATTATTTCTGGATACCTCTCTATGTATATAAATGCATTTGTAAAATAAAAACATTGATAATGCTGTATATGCTCTTCTGTAACCTGCTGTCTCTCTTAATGGAATGTAGGGAACATCTTTTCACCTTAATAAATTTACAGCAATGTAATTATCTTTTAATTATGTAATTAACAATTCTTAATTTCATTCTTTCCCAGTATTCTTTTAACTGCACCAGAAAGACCCAGAAAATACAAAGAAAGAAAAAAGAAGGGAAAAAAAAAATCCATATTTCCACCCCCAAGAAAGGCACCAAAACAACTTTGTGTATACCATTCTAAGTTTTTCTAACTACTCATATATTTATAAGTTATGTGAATATTTTAAAAATTAAAAAAAATGAGTAGTGCAGTTACCGACCCTGTTTCCCTTTACATAATGGATATCTTTCATCTTAATAAACATCCATCTGGATCATCATTTTTAATAGCCGTGTTGGTGTTCAATCCAGAAAGAGGATCATTTTTATCTAGCCAACCCCTTTTTGATGGAGATTTAGGTTGTCTTCAATACAAACCATAGTTAGTGCCACAGCAAACTCTTATACCCACACCTGGGGCACCTGCCCAGAACACTTGAGCTGAAAGGTTGCACATCTTTAGAGGTGTTTGATGCTGGTGCTGAGCTGCCTTCCAGGAAGACCACTTAGTTTTCCCAACCCACCTGGTGTGTTTCCCCCACGAGGCCAGAAATTCTGAGTGTGTTCTGAATGGCTTCTCTTTGCGTTTGTTTAAAGCAAAGACTGCCCTGAGGCCAACGCTCCATTGGACCTTCTGGCAGACTGCAAGAAGGAGGAGGAATATCGCAGAAACATCTGGAAGGGCTTTCTCATCTCCATCCCCTACTCGGCCAGCATTGGGGGCACTGCCACCCTCACGGGCACGGCCCCCAACCTCATCCTGCTTGGCCAGCTCAAAAGGTAAATGCAGGTGCGCCCCACCCAGCCCTGGAGTTTCTTCTCCTCCCACCCCTCTCCTTCTCCATTCCACGTTGGGGAAATCTGTGCTGGATGTCTTCTCTTGGCCAGCCTCTGGGGACCCAGCAGGGTACAAACCCAGCAAAGTCCCTGCCCTGGGGAAGTTCCATTTTGGTGGGGGAGACAAGCAATAAAGGAAAAGGGAAATGGATATATAATATGTCGGTGTGATAAGTTACGAAATAAAATAAAACAGCGGAAGGCTATGGAAGGGACAGGAGTGGGTGCCATTTTATATAGATTGGCCAGGGATATGGGACCTCTAACAGAGTGACATCTGAGACCTAGAAGCTATGTGAGCACAGCAGGGAAGAACATTCCAGATAGGGAATAGTCTGTCCAAAGGCGAGCAGCACAAAGACAGAGAGGCTGGGGTGTGGGGGGCAAAGGGAAGTGTGGGAGGAGCTAAGGTAAGTTGTTAGGACCCCAGCTTTTCCTGCCAGTGAGATGGGGCATCAGTGGAAAGCTGGGAGCAAAGGAATGACATGATGTGACATCTGCTCTAAAAATGAACCCCAGCTGGAAGCTTTGGTCTGTGGCTGTGAGGTCCCGGGAGAAGCTTTGCAACCAGGCACACAGGCCAGCCGTGGAATGGGCTCTGCCGGGAGCTGAAGTCTCCCCAGTGTTGAAGCTGCTCAAACAGTGTCTGGGAATGCGTCCATCAGGGTGGGAGAATAAAAGAGAAAGGTTCTTTTGAAGAAAGTCAGATGGCATGACTTGTCAACTCCCTTATCCCAAGCCCTCTTAGTTTGAAGATGTAAACGATTCCAGTATTTCGAGATTCTGTTCCTAAGATTTTCTGAGAGGTGGGGAATCTAAGATTCCTCTGCAGTGCAGATGCATCCCATGCTCACTTAATCCACAGGAACGCTAGTGTTAAGCATTTGGCAAACAAACACAACAGAAGCATTTACTGTGCAACATGGCCCCAGGTGCTGGCCAACTTCTCTACCTGATAGTCAACCAAAGAAACAAGGACTTCGTAGGAGGATGGGGGAAAGCTGGTCTTCCTGACAGCAGGTTTGCTATCACTTTTAATCAAAGTGATCTTCATAAGAAATTCTAAGTACACTCGTGTTTTACCTCTTGAGCCGATTTTAAAACCTTAATCCTCCACTATATTCTCAGGTTCTAAAATCTTTGGATTTTCCAAGTTGATGATAGAAGCCAATGATCCTCAGCCACGGGTGCATATTAGAGTCAGCCGGCAGGGTGAGAAAAATATGCCTGGGTCTCCGTTGCAGAGATTCTGATTCAGGAGATGTGGATGGGGGCCAGGCATCAGTATTCCCCCCCAGTTGACTGAAGCCCACTGCACGCATTTGGTGTCTTTTCATCTTTGAGCAAGGCCTGGCTGTGCCTTGTGTTTTTTGCTTAAGGACTGAAAAACCAGAAGCCAAGATGGTCCTGCTTGAGACGTGAGGACAATCTGGGTTTGGCCCCTTAGCGTCCTCAGTTAGAAGGAAGTGCCAGCAAAGAGCCAGTCGGCCAGGAGGACGAAGCTGGAGCACATCCCTGGGGTTGGACAGGAAAGATGTGGGCTCTGGGGCCTTCTGGGGCAGGTACCGGGTTAGGGGTTAGGGAGGAGGGGGGCAGAGAAGGGGGCAGGTGCTGGCAGCGGGTTTTCGGGCTGCCTGCCCACCCTGATGCGAGCAGGACTTTGTTCCAACTTGAAAAGAAATTAAGGAAAAAATACTGGAGGTATAAGTAAAAATATCAAATGTGAAGGAATTTGAGTCAATTACATGCAAATCACACACAACATTTGATTGCATGAGCTTGGACCTCCTGGTCTGGGAGGAGGGGATTTGAAATGAATGCCAAGTAATATGGGGCTCTGATTCTCTAGCCAGGAGCGTGGGGAGGTGGGGAAATGCCTGCCCTGAGTGTCCCCCTTGGCCTTTGCTCCCCAAATACATTTTATTACTTTACTCCGATTATGTAGGTACATTATAGAACATTCAGAAAATGTAGGGAAAAAACTTGAAATACCTTCGAGCCCACTGCTAATATTAAGCATACTCTAGTGTCTATATATAAACCTCGGTGTTCTAGCTAAGAAAGAGCTGCCTCTGTGTATGCAGCATACATCGGCGTGGCTGAGCTTGGCTGGATCTCATCCCCCTACCCCGACTTCTTCCAGTTTCTTCCCACAGTGCGATGTGGTGAATTTCGGCTCCTGGTTCATTTTCGCCTTCCCTCTCATGGTGCTGTTCCTGTTGGTGGGCTGGCTGTGGATCTCCTTCCTGTACGGTGGAATGACCCTGAGGTACCCCTCATGCTTACTTCGAGCTTTGAGCCCAACTGGAGTCCCGACTTCCTTCTCGTTGGGTAGAGAGTGGTCTTCTCAAGTTGAGTTTCCTCCTACGGAAACCGAGGATCATCCCTATAATCTCATGTTACCGTCTCATGCGGTGACTATAGTAGACCTCACCTCCCAGGGATGTGAGGGTTATGTGGTGTGACGCCCAGGCCCTCAGTTAATGTCACCCATCATCGGTAATCACGGATAGCACTGCCTTCTAAGTAAGACAAACACTCCTACCAGAGGAGAGGGACGTGCACTCTCTCCCATTTCATGGGGCGCTGGTACAGGAGATAACTTGGGGTGGCATGAAGACAAGGTATTAAATAACATCGACTCATAGGGTGAGAAAAAGAATCCTTTTATCAACTCTCATAGAATGGAGCAAGTCTCCCTTGGGTGGAGGAGAAACCGTAATACTTCTCCAACATTCCCAAATCAGCTTTTTAAACAAAGAGCAAGCGTCAGTTCCAGAGACCTAAGCCAGCAACGGTGTCTAGCCAGAGTGTGATAATTGCTTTGCTTTTGTGTTTTCATTTTTATGATTTTTTCTTTATGGCAAGTGATTCTTGTTTTCCATTTGCGGGAGCGATATAGTTTTCTATTTACATACATTTCTTTAATTGAATTGATGAGTCTATTTGGAGGAAAATATTAAGCAAATATGAGCCAGGTGGTATGTGGATATGGGAACATTTTGAAGGTAGGTTACAAACGCCTGGAGTTGGGGACATCCTAACATAGGAGGGACAGCTCAGGGCTGGGGGTAGCAGGCATGTCATAGAGTTGTTCTCCGACTCCATCCCCTCACCTCTCTGGGCCTTAATTTGCTCATCTGTAAAATGACACCAGTAAAAGTTACTCTGGATTAAAGAGATGTGAAAATGTTTGAGACTAGAAAGGCTCCGATCATGATGTTCCTTGACTCACGTGCCTTCCAGAGCTCCTCAGAGGAGAAACTCAGGGTTCAAAGCCCGCGTTAGCCCAAAGAGGCAAGTCCTGACCTTGGACTCAGACGGACCCGAATTCTAATCACACTCCCATGTGATCTTGAGCAATTTGGTAACCTCCCTGAGGTTTAATGTCGTCACGTGTAGATTGGGGCTAAAAATCAGCTGCAGCTAAAGTAAAGGCTGAACAAGGCAGGGTGTGTAAACTGCCCAGGACCATGCTGGAGATAGAGCCTATTTTTCCAGTCGACCTGTTTCAATCTAATAGGTATCTGCAGAACTCGGCCACGAGAGGATGGAGGAAATGCAGGTAGAGGGAATTTCAGTGACAGACGTGTTTCTGGGTAACAGAGAAGTTTCAGGCCAATGCCATGGCACCATCTTCACTCAGCAAATGTCCTCTGAGCACCCACTGTGTGCCTGCCACTGTTACAGGTACTGAGCACATAGCAGAGGGCAAGGCGGAGACCCTCCCTGCCCTTGCAGAGCTTACACTCAAGGTGGGGAAGACAGACAGGGAGCAGCCAAGTGCAGCAGGAATGCCAGTCGTAAGTGCTGTGAAGGAAAAGACTGTGAGATACAATGCTGTGCCCTGGAGGGCTCCCACCTAAATGGGAGGTCGGGAGAGCTTCCTTGGGGAAGGGACTTTTGAACTGGGATCTGAAGAATGCATAGACCTCACTCAGTAAAGGGAGGGGAGGAATGGGCACGATGAAGAGCATTCTAAGCAGCTAGAACAGTAAGTGCAAAGGTCCTGAGGCTGGAGGTAGCAAGGGATGTTCTGGAACTGAAAGGTTAAAGTGACTGAGTTCAGGGGATAAGGGAAATTTGTGGGAGATGAGGCCAGGGAATGAGGCAGGAGTTTTCACCTGGGAATGATTTTGTCCCAGGGGACGTTTAGCAATATCTTTAGACATTTTGTTTGTCACAACTGAGGAATTACTACCGGAACCTAGTGAGTAGAGGCCAGGGATGCTTCTAAACATTCTGCAATACACAAGTCAGCCTCCTCCTGCAGCAGGGAATTGATCCCACCCCACAACAGAAAAAGATCCTGCCCCAATATGTTAATAGTTCCAATGTTGAGAAACTCTGGGCTAGATCATTGAGGGTCTTGGGGGAGTTTGATCTTCATACAAAAGAGCCATTGTGAGGATTTTTTTAAAAATATATTCATTTGTGGGCACCTGGGTGGCTCAGTCGTTAAGCGTCTGCCTTCGGCTCAGGTCATGATCCCAGGGTCCTGGGATCGAGCCCCGCATCGGGCTCCCCACTCAGCGGGGAGCCTGCTTCTCCCTCTCCCACTCCCCCTGCTTGTGTTCCCTCTCTCGCTGTGTCTCTCTCTGTCAAATAAATTAAAAAATCTTTAAAAAAAATATATATATATATATAGTCATTTGTTGTTGTTTTAATTTGGATAAACAACACATACACATGGTTCAAAAATCAAAACAATGCAAAGAGGTATGCAGTGAGAATTGTTCTTCCCAACCATGCCTTCATTCACCCATTCACCCAATAATTCCCCCCAAAACAGGTTTCCTGAGTAATCTTCCAGGGTTTCCTTAAACAAATACAGGCAGATATAGTATATTTTCTGGTGACTAGTCTCCCTGACAGATATGATTTTGTATATTCACGGGTATTTTTGTAAGGTAAATTTCCATAGGTGAGATTTTGGAGTCAGAGGCTAAACACCTTTTCCTTTTAATAGATTATCAAGTCATTCTCCATAGGACTCGTACGAATTTGTTCTCCCATTTATAATGTATGAGAGTGTCTGCTTCCCTGCAGCAGTGGATTTTTGCCAATCTGATAAGAGAAAAATAATTTGCATTCATTTTAAGAGCTTTTGGAGCAACTTTTCATATTGAGGGCAACATGAAGAACTTTCCTATCTTCATAAAAACCACGGGTATTTTCTTTCTTGTGGCTTGTTAAACTGTGTTTCTATTCTTTGTACATTTTTCAAATGGACTATTGATCTTGGTCTTATTGATTTCTAGTACTCTTTATATATTGAAAGATTAGTGTTTACTCTTAATCCTTCTCATGTGGCTTCTGAATTTTCAATTATAGTTAGATTTTCCTATTAAGGGAGTTGTAAAAAAGATAATCTCATGTTTTTATCTAGGTTTTCTTTTTTCTCATCTGTTTGTTTGTTTTTACACTGAAATCTTTTACCTGTTTGGAGTTTGTCCTTAGGATGCAATGTGAGGTTTGGATCCAACTTCACTTTTTGTTCCAGATGGCCACCCAGCTGTCCAGTGATATTTATGGACACACAAAAGTTTTTAAATTTGACAAAGTCCGATTTCTCTCTCTTTGGTTGCTTGAGTTTTTGGTGTTATATCTTAAGAGATAGTTGCCTAACGCAAGGCCAGAAAAATTTACCCCTATGTTTTCTTCTAAGAATTTTATACATCTAGCCCTTATATTTAGGTCTGACCCATTTTTTTTAAAGATTTTATTTATTTATTTGAGAGAGAGGATGAGATAGAGACAGCACGAGAAGGGGGAGGGTCAGAGGGAGAAGCAGGCTCTCCGCTGAGCAGGGAGCCCAATGCGGGACTCGATCCCGGGACTCCAGGATCATGACCTGAGCCGAAGGCAGTTGCTTAACCAACTGAGCCACCCCGGCGACCTAGGTCTGACCCGTTCTTGAGTTAAATTTTTTTATATGGTTTGAGGTAGGGGTCCACGTTCATTCTTTTGCATGTAGCTATCCAGTTGTCCTAGCATCATATGTTAAAAGGCTATTCTTTCCCCACTGAATGGTCTTGGTATCCTTGCCAAAACCCAGTTGAGCATGGAAGTATGGGTTATTTCTGGACTCCCAACTCCCAACTCCATCCCATTGATCTACATGTTCAACACGACTGACTGAATAGCTCTTTTTCTACACCAGCTTGATCATAGACTAAATCCCCAGTCTATTTCTGGACTTCCTATTTTGTTCCATTAATTTATTCAGGTGCCTGTTTGACCCCTAAAGAATTGTAAGCCTGGGAGTCTTATGATCAGACTCACATTTTTAAAAGACCACCAAAGCTATAGGTGGGGGAGAACAGATTTTCAGAAGGGAACACAGGCAGGCAGGCTACTCAGCAGACTGTTGCAGTCTCCAGAATAGAGATAATGAGGCTTGGCCCGCGGGGGGGGGGGGGGGGGGGGGGGGGGGGAGAGTTGAGGAGTTAGTCGTACTTGCGGTGGCCACTCCTCACCTCCCTCCTCTGTTTCAGGGGCTGGAAGAAGAAGAAATCTGAGATCAAAACTGATGCAGAAGACAGGGCTCGCGCCGTGATTCGGGAGGAATTCCAGAACCTGGGGCCCATCAAGTGCGTGGTACTACGGGGGTTCCTGGGGTGGGGAGAGAGCCCAGCATAGACTTTCAGGAAACCTACCTCCTAGCCTGACCTCTGGACCCCTGCGGGCTGAGTTCCGGGGGAATTTCAGGACGATGGCCTAGAAGCCCGGAGATGGAGGGTAGGGGGGTGGCTTATACAGTCAGCCTCTTGCCCTGGTGCTGGGGTAAATACCCTGAGGACCAGGAAGCCCCTCAGGGTGCAGTTGCAGTGGGGACCTCCTGCCCTTCCAGCTAATGCACTCTTTCCCTCCTGGCGCATGGGATACCCAACACTCCCTCGGGCAGCTTCCGGGACCTTTTTCAACGCACAGTTCCCATTCGGGGAAAATACCTAGGAGTCAGGAGGTCTGCACCCAGGAGCTGGCTCTGCCACTAACTCCTACGTAGCCAAGGGCAAAGCACTTACCCTCTCTGGGCTCTGCTCCAGTCTGTGGAATGGGCACATTGGGTAGATATTTACTCCAACATTTGGGGACTCTGTGTGTCTGCCCCTCTCCCTGTCTGTCTGCCCCCTTGGTGCATCCGTCTTCCTCTGCATGTATGACTGTCCCTCTCTCTCTTACCTACCTCTGTTTCTAGCTGTTTCCTTTTTTTTCTGCTTTTCTGACTCCGCCTCTGCTTTGCTTTTTCTTTCTCTCTGGTGATTCTCCTTAGGACCTTGGGGAATTCCCAGTGGGCATGATATAAATAACTTGGGGGGAAGGTGGTGCCTGAATGCTCCGGAAGGATCCTGGGGGAGTGTGGGGGCCCCTGGACAGGAATCCCTTACACCCCAAGATACCCTTCCCCTCACTCCGAGGAGTGGATTACTTCTCGCAGCTTCTCATAGGCAGGGCCCCGGGCCGGGTGACAGCCAGCGGGCACCCGCCCCAGGCCTTCTCACGCTGCGGTCCACCCAAAGCCCACCATCAGCATGGCGCCTGCCTATCTGTGCCACAGGTTTGCCGAACAGGCCGTGTTCACCCTTTTCTGCATGTTCGCCATCCTCCTCTTCTCCCGGGATCCGAAGTTCATCCCTGGCTGGGCCAGCCTCTTCACCCCTGGGTGAGACTCGGGGGACGCGGGGGTGGAGCCCCACAGGGAAGATTCTGGGATGGGCCACCTGGAGCTGGAGAGGCAGCGCACCTGGAGGGGCCGGGCTAGGTGTACACCCTTGGTCTCGTGTGACTATAAACAGCTCCTTCCTTTACACTCAAAAAAGCTTAGGTTCAGATGATAGAACATTTTGGGTTCTCATGTGTTAGGAGCTTTGCCTTTGGAATCAGGCAAAACTAGGTTCAAACGTCAGCTCTGCCCCTTGTAAATGGTGGTGCAACCCTGAGCACATCATTCATTCATTCATGCACTCATTAGTTTGTTCGTTCGATCGGTCAACATCTATCGAGCGCCTCTTATGTGCTCCACATTGTGCTAGATGCTGGGGACGCAGACCAAAGCAAGTAGCTCGACAACAAAACCCTGCAGATTGTAATGAGTGCAAAGAAAGAAAGCGCGAGGGGGCTATATTATGAAAGAACGGGCGGGGGCATTGACTTTGGGTGGTTCTGGGAGGAAGTAAAGATCGGAAGAGGAGCGATGAGCACTGGAGAGCTGCTGGGAAGGTCTACTGAGAGCCACAGGCAGGACCTTACTTTAGCACATTTGGCAAATTGAAAGAAGCCCAGTGTGACCAGGGAGGCCCGGCAGGAAGGGAGAAAAGTCAGCACGACATGGCTGAAAGGGTAGGCGAGAGCCAGATCCTGGAGAGTCTTGTTGGACACATAAAACATTTGTGTCTTTTCCATGTGGGAGGCTCTGTGCCTCTGTTTTCTCATCTATGAAATGGTATTATAGTACCGTTCTCACTGGATTGTTCCAAGGATCAGTGAGTTAGTTCATGTCAAGTGATTAGAAGGGCATGTGGAAAGAACTCAGGAAAGTATTAGCTCTACTTATTAGGGGATGGATAGGCGGAAACAGGTAGGAGCTCTAACACCATCTAGATGAGCCCCTGTCTTCTAGGACAGGGCCGGCAAACTAAGGCTCCTGGGCCAAATCTGTCCCCAGCACTTGTTTTTGAATGGCTTTTACCTTTTTAAATGGCTAAAAAATCAAAAGACAAATAATATTTGTGACACATGAAAATTATATGAAATTCAAAGGTCCGTGTCTACAAATAGTTTCATGGAACTCAGCCACACCTATTCACTTATGTATCGTCCTCAGCTGCTTTCATACTGCAACATCAAAGATGAGTCGGGACAGAGACCATATGGCCAGCAAAGTCAAGAGTGTTTACTATGTGACCCTTTACAGAAGACACTCACTGAGCTTTGGTCTAGGGGAAAGGCCTCGCTGGCGTGTGTCCAAGTGGTAACATTGGATAGGCAGCCGTCAAGATCTGTTTGAAAGTTAGAAATGATAGTACCTGCCACCTGGTAGGATTTGGGGCCACGAGGGTTGGAGCACCAGCGTGGCTGGTGGTTAGTTGGAGAAGAACATTCCTTAGGAGGCTGGGTTGTGAGTGGCTTATCAACAATTCGAATTTGGACTTGGGTTAGACTTGTCAAGTCAAATATGTCTTTCAAATCCTGCAAGGGAGAGTGTAGAAGACTCTGAGGACCCCAAACATGTGGGAGCTGAAATGGAAGAGGGTAGAGGAGAGAAATGGAAGAAGCAGGCTGTGAGGTAGGCAGAAAACCAGGAGCAACAAACAAGCAAAGGCCAAGGTTGGGGAGCATTTTAAGAAAGAGCAAGTAGGCAACCATGTCAAATTCTGGTGTGTCAAAACATGATTAGATAGGAAATATGTCCTCTAGCTTCAGTGAGATCTGATGATTTCCATCAGCACCATCCGGTAGAAATACAACGTGAGATACACGCGTAATTTCCAAGTTGTAGTGGCCACATTTAAAAAGTCAAAAGAAACAATGAAATTAATTTTAGTAATATATTTCATTTAACCCAGTATATTATTTTAACATGTAATCGATATGAAAATTATTGAGATATTTTACTTTTGTTCATACTCAATCTTCAAAGTCTGGTGTGCATTTTATAAGGCAGCACACCTAGGTTTGGTATTGCCAGAATTCAAGTGTCCACTAGCTATGTGTGGCTGGTGGCTGCCATATTGGATAGAGCAGCTCTATACTCTCGGAGTGTAGTGACTCTCCGAGCCTCAAATGCCCCGTGGTAAAATGGGTGATATAAGGTTCTGATCTCATGCGGGTTATTATGAGGAAGAAGCAATGTCATTTCATGGAGCCAAGAAGAGTGGCTCTTACTACCATTGTCTTATTTTTCCAAAATGTAGATGCTTTGTCATTTTTTTTAGATGAAAAGTGGGTGTTGCAAACATTCCAACAATACAAAGACAGTGAAAATCACCTAGAAACTCAGTCTCCAATTCTGATACACATCTTTCCTGACTTAAAAATGCCTATCCAGGAACTGTTCTATCTTAATCCCATGGGGGTTACAAGAATATACATTAGCCAAAATGTAAACTATATCCTTTAAATGGGTGCATTTTATTGCATGTTAATTATATTTCGATAGATCTAACTGTAAAAATACATGTAAACTAGCTAAAAAGAAACCTATCTAAACAGAAGATTTTTTAACAGAAATGTGATCACAGTGGACATATTATTTGTGATCTGCTTTTTCCTTTTTTGTTTAATTATAAAAGTTATATATACTCATTATAAAAAACTTCAAATAATGCTGAATTTACCTTTGGTAAATGAAGAGATTGTCCAATTAAAAGTCTGGTGTCTAACAGATCTGATATACACAGGCATGCCTAATAATACATACACACGGACATATATATGTGTATACATGTTACAAAAAATTAGAAAGTACAATAATATAATCACGGGCAACTTACTATTTCTGACCTACTTCATTCTTTTTACACCCTCCATAGTATTCTACAGAATGATAGCACCTTAATCTATTTAATCAATTCCTTTTGGATTGTGTCTCATACTGCGAATAAAAACTTCTCTTTTGATTTACAAAATATCTTGGTCACACTTCTATGTCAATGCATAAACATTGATGTTATCTTTTATCTTTAAAAAACAGATGCAGGGTATTTCATTATAGATATACTATTATATATACATTTATAATATACATATTTATTACATATAATATACATATTACATGTACATGTAATATACATATATTTATATATACATATATATCATATACACAAGTTATTTACACATGTCTGTACTAAAAATCTTCCATTTTTTTTCCCTCTTATCCATATTGAACATCCCTATACATAATCTGTGTACAAGAGCCCAGTTTTCCTGATAACTTCCTAGAAGTACGATAACTGGATCAAGGGGCACGCACATGTGAAGGATTAAAACATGTTGTCAGCTGCCCTCCAGAAGGTTAAACCAGTTTCTTTTCACACTGCCTGTGTGTTTTCCAACGTCCCCATTAGGTACTATCATCACCCTTTCAAGTTTTGCCTGTTAGCTGATGAATGACACTCCATTAGCGTGGGGTTTCTATTTCTCTAATACAGTGATATTAACCATCTTTTCCAGGTTCTTGGCCATTTGAATACTCTTCTTCCCAAATGAGTGGGATCAAAGGGCTTTTGTGGACATTTGGCTCTATGCTTCATTGAGCTGGGAGCCAGGCAAATCTGGGTTCAGTGCCCATCTCCTGCATGGACCATAGCCTGGCCTTGAGCAAGTTGCTTCTGCTCGCTGAGCCTCAGATTCCTCATCTGAGATGGAAGCTGCCTGCCCCAGAGGGCTGTTTCTCAGATTTCTGTGAGCTTAACGCCTCCACAAGACACACAGTGGATCCTTGAAAGGCAGTAATTAGATTGTGAGGGGCTGTGAGGCTGCTTCCATCTGCTTTCTGCTGGTGCGAATGGGCTGCATCTCTGAGTAGTAAGCTGCCCGCCCCAGGAGGAAAGCAAGCAGAAGCTGAACAAATGCATACAAGCCCTTAGAGAAGCCCTGGTTCTGGTGATTCGCGGGAGTTCCACAGATCCCATATTTGATGGTGCTCAGATTCTTCCCTCCTCTTTGGTCAAGTCTGTCTTCCTAGGAGGATAAGCGTTTGTCTCCTGTGGCCTCAAAGGCCCCAGGGAGCCATGAGCAGAGAGAGGGCTTCAGCATCCCGGGCAGTTGCATCCACGCTGAGTGCAGGCAGGACGGTATCCAGTGGCCTCCAACAATAACCCCCTTCACAGCAAGCGCCTAATTCCCTCCCACAAATCCTCATTTGCAAATCCGCCAAACTGGCGGGCCTGCTGCGATGCCCAGGGTCACATGCTTTGGGGCCTTGTCATTGTAGGTTTCTTTCTGATGCTGTCACCGGAGTGGCCATTGTCACCATCTTGTTCTTCTTCCCATCCCAAAGGCCCTCTTTCAAGTGGTGGTTTGACTTTAAAGGTAAGGTGTCAGGGCTGGGGTCTCAGTGGGCTCAGTGAGGCTGTGACTCGGAGCGTGGTAATCATGGCCTCGAGGCAGGGCCCACGCCTGGGACCTGAACCCCACTGTACCAACCGTGTGGTCCCGCTTCTTCCCTTTTCTCCATCTGAGGTCTTAGCTGGTCCGGGCACTTGGGGCTGCCAGAGGTGACGGCCCAGGGCAGGAGTCAGCAACTAGAGTTGGCCAGATCCAGCCGGCGGTCTGCTTTGTACAGCCCAGGAGCGAAGAATAGCTTTTACGCTTTTGTAATTGTTGAAAAGAATCAGAAGAAAAATATCTCATGACACAGGAACATCACACGAAATTCAGATTTCAGTGTCCATAAATCAAGTTTATTTCTTCAGTAAGAAATTGCGGACGTTTATTTAGTTAGTTACACAAATACCTGCACAGTAGCCTCAATTTTCCCTCCTGGCTCACAAAACCCAAATATTTACTTGCTGACCCTTTTACAGAAAAACTCTGCCGCCTCTGGGTCTAAGGCTGGAGTTGGGACCCTCACTCCGGTGCCTAAGGGGCCAGACGTGCAAATCTCAAGCTAGGTTGAACCGGATAGGAAGTGGTGGGGACCGAGGCACAACAGCCTAGCAGCATCCCAGGTCCATCTTAAAGGATCACTGAGCCACCCAAACCAAAACCTCTGCAGGGTGGCCTTTAGATGGGTTCCCAGCTGGTGTCTGTCAGAACAAGGCGCCGCCGCCTAGCACCAGTGACAAGCTTAATCAAGCTGGGGCAGTGGGATGAGCTCTGCACTGGGAGTCAGAAGTGGGGTTGTCACCTAGAGTCACAGGCAGGTTAGCGCCATTGTGGAGGAGGGGGTCTGAGCGTGGGGCATAACGGAGGGATCAGCAGGGAGACGATATCACAGGGCCCCAGAAACAGTTATTGCTGCTGAGCGAAGACTGGGTCCCAGGAGCTGTGGGCAAAGACTCTGCAATCTGGGCAGGATTTGTCTCTGCTCCTCGGGCTGGCTTCCAGCTGGCTTTCTTCATCACGCACTCTGGGGACCATGTCCTGGCCTCTCTGTAGTTTCTACTGCTTCTAAGCTCTGGCCTCTTTATCACTTCTGCTGCTGTATAGTTCCTGCTTTTTTTTTTTAGAACTTAGGTTCCCTAAGCGTATCTTCTCCGTTGTAACGCCCACATTCTCCCAGGCTGGCGGGTTAACCCCCCCCCCCTCCCCGTAGCACACGGCCTCCCTTGCTCTCTGTCCTTTCCTCTTCAGCTACACATCTGTGCACCTGCTGTCCCTCTACCTCCCATGGGTACTGCCGAGAGTAAGAATCTGCTTGGTCTGGCTTGATATTTGGGCAGCTCTCCCACCAGGCCACCTTGTAGCCTCGTAGATTCCCAGCCAGCCTGGGAATCGGCTGCCCTTGATCGGATCCCATCTGTGGTTCCGTTACCTGTGGGCGGGCTCCAAAAGCCCAGAGCTTCCTCTCAGCCCGGGCTGTGGGGAGGGCCTGTGATGTCCAAGTCCGGTATCACAGCCGTGTTACCGATTTGCTGGGTGACCCTGAGTAAGTTCCTAGGTTGTCTGGGCCTTGCTTTCCCACTGAACGAGAATGAACATGTCCCTTAGATACTCTTCACCCCTGGCCTTAGTAGTTTTATAGAACAGAGGTTGCAAACTCAAATGCCCACAGGGAGGGAACAGTGTTGGGTGCAGCAGACTGGGTGCAGGAAAATGTCTTTCGTGACACACGGCCCTCCTCGCCCGGCTTTCCTTCTACATTGTTGAAACAGAACAATGTCTATATGAGGAAAACAGCTGGCGAGGATGCTCGTGAGTGGCAAGACCCCTTGCGTCAGGGCACCCCCCCTCGCGTCGTGGGGTCTGTGGAAAACTGGCAAGCCAATAGCCTTTACATAAAAGGGCAGCCGTGACTCAGTTTCCACCAAGTGTCACCGTGCAGGAAAGCGGGACTCGTCTTGCCAGATTTGCTGGTTTTTCAAGAGAAGCAAAAAAATTGTATGCAATCTCCCAGATTTTAAATGTTGGCCACTAATCTGAATTGAGAAACACTGTGTGGGCCACAGCAACAGCCGCGTGAGAACACGTCCGGCGGCTGGGTCTGGCCTGCCCACGGGGTACAGCATGCTACTTCCGCGGAGGGCTTTTTGGGCTGGGGTTCCGGGGGTTGCCTGGTGGATGGGGAGACAGGGGCCTCCGTGAGCACCACCTGTCCTTTGGCCACCAGCGGGCCTGCGCAGACTGGGCTGAAAGGATGTGTTCTCGCACTCAGCACCCAGGACTTACATGGAGCCTGAGAGAGTGGCCAGTTTCCACGGAGAGAAAGTGACCTGATCAGGGTCACACAGCTAGCTAAACAGAGACAGGGGGTAGAACCCAGGCGTCCAAGCCAACCTTGATTTTCTTATTGTACCTGCTGCCTTCCATTCTTCCTTGGGTGGGAGTCACACTTGCATTTCTGTCCCTTTATGTCACTCAGCAAGTATCGACACGGTGCCCACTATATGTTGGGCACTGTGCCCCTGGATGATGATGGGGATGATAATGATGACTTCCATTTCCTCTCTGTCCACCAAGCTCTCGCTCCAGATATCGTGTGGCTCACTCCCATCACTATACTCAGACTCTGTCCAAACGTTACCTCCCCAGAGAAGCCTTCCCTGACCACACTATCCAGAAAAGCATCCCTCCCTTGTCACTCTCCACCCCTCTACCGTATTTTCTTTCCTTCCTAACACATTAAATTTCCTGACATTATATATTTATTGGTTCTCACCTGCCTCCCTTGCTGGAAAGGTAAGTTCTCCGAGGGGAGGGATTTTCTCTGGTTTTGGCCTCTTCTGAATCCCCAGTGCCGAGAGGAGTGGTAGGTCCTCAGTATATATTTGTGAAATTGAATAACCAAGGCCTTGCTCTGGGCCACACCCAGAGCTGAACCCTTTGCCCCCATGGGCCCATGTCATCTCCCCAGTGGGTCTTTGAGGAGCTACAATTGCTCCCTTTTGTAGATGAGCACGCTGAGGCTCAGAGAAGTAGAGTCACTAGCTCAAATCACACAGCCGAAGGGCAGAGCTAGGATTCAAATCTAGTTCAACTTCAGAGCCTGTACTCTTAGCCTCTGCTGCAGACAGCTCGCTGGCATAACGTGGGGCTGGACTGTGAGAGGCCCATGGTTAGAGGCTGAGCTTTTTTTTTTTTTTTTAAAGATTTTATTTATTTGACAGAGAGAGACACAGCGAGAGAGGGAACACAAGCAGGGGGAGTGGGAGAGGGAGAAGCAGGCTTCCCGCCAAGCAGGGAGCCCGATGCGGGGCTCGATCCCAGGACCCTGGGATCATGACCTGAGCCGAAGGCAGACGCTCAAAGACTGAGCCCCCCAGGGGCCCCGAGGCTGTGCTTTGAAGAAACAGCAGCAAGGGCATGGTCGGATGGGACCATAATGAAGACAATCTGAGCGCAGGCTGTGTGCCTATCGTGGCGCAGATGGGCCTCATTAGCACTTACCGTGTCACTCATTTAATCTGCGGGATGTTAAACCCATGGTCAGGGCCTTCTCCTATGTGGGGCAAGTCCCTTTCCTTTTTCAGACCTTGCCTGCCTCTTTAGTGAAATAATACTTCGTTGCCTAAAGGCAGAGGGCCGAGCCACCCAACGTCTCCAGCTTTCATTTCAGATAACGAAATATGGAAAAAGCTGAGAGGGAGAAACAAAATGTCAGTGGTTGTGTGACCAGGAATTGTCCTGGGAAGTAGGGCACCGCCATGCATGAGCCAGACCTGTCCTCCCCACCTCCCTGGTGGCCGCCTGCAGGGACAGTTCCACTTCAAGAGCGTTCGCTCTGCACCAGGCCTCAGGCGATGCATCTCGCATCCCACCAGCCGACAAGTGTTTTGGAGTACACACCAGGTGCTAGGCAGTGACGCAGGGATGCGGCTGTGAGCTGAACAGGACCGTGTCTCTCTCCACCAGCAGCTCCCTCATTGCCTCGTCAGTGTTCACGAGGACCCTCCAGGGACTGTTTCTGTGCCACAGGCCAGCCGAGGAAATGGGGGCTCAGGCAGGCCAGGTCACGTTCAAGGGTGTGCGGTGAGCCAACACCCAGGAGGGTCTGTCTCCAGGCCTATGCTCCCAACACGGGGGTGGCAAACTTCAGCCCGTGGTCCAAATGCACCCCTCCTTGGTCAGTAGGGTTCCCTGGGAGCCACGCCCACTCACGTATGTCCTTTCTCTGGCTGCTCACACGCTACAGTGGCGGCCTGGTTCCCCAGAGGCTTGCAGAGCCTGGAGTATCCACTCCCTAACCCTTTCCAGAAGTTTGCTTGTTCCCGTTCTAACCACTGCGCGCAGACACTGCTGCCTTTTAGGACATAAAAATCCTCCCATAATTCCGTGAACCAAAGATACTCTTCGCTTCTCTTTTCCTGAATTTCCTTCCACTTTTTCCCTCTCTGTACACATTCAATTACAAAGAGAGCCTTTTCTCTTGTAAATGAGGGTGAAAGCAGCACTGCCCAGAAGGGGTTTTGGGAAATTGAAAGGATGTCCTGCATGGAGGTGGGGTGCCCAGTTCCAGGAGGTTCTCACGCTCTGGGAGCCATGACAATTATTTTCGTTCTGAATAGAGCGGATGCCCCTCATGATGCTTGCAGGGTTTTTCTCTGAAGCTCCAAAATCAGATGCTGGAGCCAGATTGTGGCTTCCAGGAGACCCCCCCCTCCCTCAAGTGTCCCCACAAAGATGGAGCTGCAGGGGCTGATGACCCTTCCTCAGGCTGAGTGTCCTGGGTGTGTGTCAGGTCCCCCTCTGCCCCGGGGGACCCGTATCCCCTCGTCAGGCTAAGTGTCTCCTCTCCACCCAGCTTCCAATGCAGAGACAGAGCCCTTGCTGACGTGGAAGAAGGTCCAGGACACGGTGCCTTGGAACATCATCCTTCTCCTGGGCGGGGGCTTCGCCATGGCCAAAGGCTGTGAGGTAAGAGCCGCAAGCGGGCGGCAGGACTGGGGAGGGGGGCGCAGGTTCCAGTCCTGGCTGCTCAGGGTCAGAGCACACGGGCAGCATGGGCACCCCAGCCACCACCAGATTCCCCAGTTGCCAGATTGGGATCATCAGGGCTCCATCCTCAGCACCCGGTGCTGTGAAGGAAAGGAGTAAGGTCTGATCCAGACTCTCAAGGAGCTCACGATGAGCACACTACCACTAAATACTACTATCATGGCTCGAGGGGTCCCGTGGGCACAGAGGAATAACCCTACGCTCGCCCCCACCCCCAGGTCGGGCTCTGTTCTGAGTGCTTTACACACATTAACTCATTTAAACTTCCCAACAAGCCCATGAGGTAGATGCCATTATTATCCCCATTCTCCGGATTAAGAAACTGAGGCACAGAGAAGTAAAGTGATTTGCCCAAGGTCACACAGCTATGTACTCAGGATTAGAATCCAGGTAGTTTGACGCCACGGCCTATACTCTCAGCCATCATGATATAAATATTAGAGAGAATTAATATTAATCAGTTAGTATTATTATGAATATTGTTTTAGAGGGCTGTTTGAGCTCAGAGGCAAGACTGGGACTAGAGGGAGGGGAGTGGGGCACAGAATTTCGGGGGGCTCTGGCTCTCAGCACTCCGCAGGTGCAGTGTCAGCAGGCCCTGCTCAGAACAGGTGCAGCCTCAGTGTTACCCTTCAAACACTCATGCTGACCCTAGGGGCTGGGTAATATTTGCATCCCCATTTTATAGATAGGAAAACTGAGGCGCAGAGAAGTTAGTTAAGCAACTCTCTGAAGGTTGTACAATTGCACTCTGCTCAGGAGCTGGGGTTCCAACTCCGGTCAGACTGTTTTCAGAGTCCAGCCTCCTAACGGCTCACTTGCAAGAACTTCCCAAGTGCTGGCATCATGTGGAGCACTTTGCAAACAGGGGCTCGGTTCGTCTTCATCAACACCACTGAAGTAGATGCGATTGCTGTCCACACTTCAAAGATGAGGGAACGGAGGTAACTCGAGGCTAAATAGCTTGCCTGTGTTTGTGCATCCAGGAGCTTGTTGGAGCCAGGATCTGAACCCCCAGTTCATGATGCTGGGCTCCACCTCACCTCTAAATCTCTCCGTGTAAGCCAAGGCATTTAAAACCACAACCAGTTAAGCGTTAATCTGAAATTAAGGTGAAGGAAACCTGAAATTGCTTCTCAGATTGCTTTCTTTCTTTAATTCAGTTCTAATTTTCAGGTTCCAACAATGAGACGATATAAGACATCCCTAAAGTGTATATGAGTAAGAAGCCCAGGCTTGAGAATCTGAGTATCTGGATTCAAATCCCAGCTCTACCACTCCTCGCTGGGGCACTTTGGGCAAGTCTCTAAACCTCCCTGGGTGCCAGTTTTCTCATCTATGAATTGGATCAAAGTTCCTACTCTTCAGGGTTGTTGGAAGTAATCAGAGAACGTAATAGCCGGTGCAATACATAGCAAATGGGGAGCATGAGGAACTCCCTGTTTGCTCTCTAAATCCTCATTCTGTGGTCTTGTGGGTTCTGCTTCCAGGGAGCAGACTCTGAGATGCAGGCGAGTGGGCAGGTGTGTTAGGTTGTGCCCCTGAGGTTCCTCCCTGTGGACGGGGCGGGTAGGAAGCAGGAGAGGGCAGGGGGAGAAGCACAATCGTGAGCAGACCCCACGACGCCTCCACCAACCCCACAAGGAGCATGGGGCTGAGCTGGCCCTTCAGAAATGTCCCGACTGGTCTGAGACGGCCAGGCCATACCTCGGCATCCCTACACCAGTCTGCACGTGTGAGCCACCCCAAGAGTGAGTGTGACATCAGGCATGAAGACTCTCAGGTCTGAGACAGCCCCTCAGGGGCTGACAGTGAAGGCCTTGGTTCCCTGCACTGGGACATGCAGGCCTTCAGAGTCCGGAGTGCTAAGCCATTACACCAGGTTACTCACGAGGCCTTCACTGAAGGTGATCTGGGTGGCACATTCAGGGTCTCGACCCAACGACTCCTTTTTCTGACATACATTTTTATTTTGCTCGTTTTCCCCCAACAAATAACACATACAAATACAATAGTATAGACTTCAAAATGAGCAAAAGGCAGCCTGCCCCAGGAGGGACCAGAGTGCTCATGAGCAACAGTACTATTTTTGTCTCCATTTTAGGAATCTCGAGGACCAGAGAGCTTAATTGACTGATCCTAGGTAACAGAGCTCATAGGTAGCAGAGCTGGGAATTGAACTTCTGTCTGACTTTTCTCACTACTGCGTCCTATTGGGGATGTATCTGGGAAGGCTTCCCAAAGGAAGTGACATGTTATCCAGGTCCTGAAATGGCCATGCCACGCAATGGTAAAAAGCATGGGCTGTCGAACCCAGACTGTCTGGGTTGGAGTTGTGGGTCTTGTACCTCTTCACTGTGTGGTTCGGTTTCCTCATCTGTAAAATGGGAATAATAATGGTGCCAAGTCATAGACTTATTACAGTTATGAAAGAAGCCGATGCATGTGGGGAACTTGGAACACAGCCGACATGGTTGGTTATTATAATTGAATGCAGGGGAAAGAGGGAAATCAGAATCAGGGATGACATGGAGGTTCTTGCCTGAGCAACTCAGTGGAAAGGGTGCCACTTATCCAGATGGTACGAACCTTGCCTGACCCTGAGGCAGGGGGTAGAGGAGATGGCCCCATACCCCAGAGGCTTCTCGGAGTTCAGGATGTGTTGGGAAAAGTCTCAGCTCTCAGTGGGGGCTGGGCTGCAGGACCACTGGGCACGCTGGGAGGCTGGTCTGGCTCCTGGCCCAGCCCTGGGCTGCCGCTGGAGTTTCTGTTTAACAAGGGCTTTGTCTGGCAGCTGCCCCCCTCCCCCCACCCCTGCTCCTCCCCAGACCAGCACAGCCTGCCCCCAGGAGGGACCAGAACACTCATGGCACATCCTGCTTCATGGCCCCCGCCCAGTGCCCTCATCAGGCCACCACCAGGCCTCCTGGGGCTTACAGGTCCTCGGATGGGGTCCAGGGTGAGCCTGGATGTGTGGACTCCCTAGTGCTGGTTTGGGAGAGCTGGAAGCAGATCCCAGGCCTTGCTCTGAGCTTGGCAACTCACTTAAACTTTACTGCTTAGTGTCCTCAGTGCATTTTTCTCCTGCTGTAAAACTATCCATGACTCCCCATATATTTAGACTCTAGTCTGAAGGCTTCCTTGGCCTACACACAGGGCCCGGCGTGACCTGGCCCCTGCCTACCTCCCTGGTGTCAGCTCCTACCTCTCTCCCCTCATTGGTTGCCCTCCAATCCCACTGGCCCCTTAATGTCAGCCACACTAGACTCATTTGCACCCCTGGACCTTTTATCTGCTTTCTTTCTGCCTAAGGCTCTTCCCTGAGATCTTGAGTCCTGGCCCTTCAGGTCAGCTCCAAGGTCACCAACTCAGGGGCCCTCCCTAGTACCATATCTAAAGTAGCCTCCCCTCCAGCCACTCTCCCTATAACACCCCACTATTTCCTTCCTGTTTCCTTCCCCCAAATTTCCTGCTCATTTGTTTGCTTGTTGGTGTCTCTCTTACTGGAGTGTAAGCTCCATGAGGGCAGGGGTAGTATCTGTCTTATTCACTACGGTTCCGGCATCAAGAAGAGTCCTGGTACATAACATGTTCAATAAACATTTGTTGGACATGACCCATGAGACGGGCTGTTTTGAGGGTTGATGTCGTGAGGCATGGAATGTGCTCAGCATGGGGCTGATCATACCAGGCACTAAAACCAGAGCCACCTTCAACCTCACTACTGTTTTTGTTACTATAGTTTTACTATCTCATGGATTGAAAAATTGGTCTTCTTCTGGCACCTTCATGTATATTTTATTTAATCTCCACCAAAGTAAACTTATCTACAAATATATCGGGGTTATAGGAGCTTGAGAGTAAGTCAGAAGGGAGCAAACCCTGTAGGCAAGTAGAAACCTGTGTATTTTCCCCATTCCTCATTTCCTGCTGGAGAGTCACCTCGATGACGTTGGTGGTGGTGGTGGTGGTGGTGGTGATGATGGTGATGATGATGGTGGTGGTAGTGATGATGGTGGTGGTGATGATGGTGATGATGGTGATGGTGGTGGTGATGATGATGATGGTGGTAGTGATGATGGCGATGGTGGTGGTGGTAGTGATGGTGGTGATGGTGATGATGGTGATGGTGCTGGTGGTGATGATGGTGATGGTGATGATGGTGACGATGGTGATGATGGTGATGACGGTGATGATGGTGATGGTGGTGGTGGTGATGATGGTGGTGGTGGTGATGGTGATGATGGTGATGGTGGTGATGATGATGGTGGTGATGGTGACGATGGTGATGATGATGATGGTGGTGGTAGTGATGATGGTAATGATGGTGATGGTGGTGGTGGTGATGATGGTGATGATGATGATGGCGATGATGATGATGATGATTGGCATTATTTTATTGGAGAGATAGCCTAATGAAGTAAGAGCTAGATTCTAAGCTCAAAATTCCAACCCTAGGGCAAGTCATTTCACTTATTCAGGCAAATCACCACCTCTTTGTGCCTCAGTGTCTTCAGCCATAAAATGGAGGTAATTATACAACTTACCTCATGGAGTTGTTACAGGGATTAAATATGTTAATATTAGCCAAGTCTTTAGAAGAGTGCCCAGCACAGAGTAAACTCTACATGAAGTGCTTGCCAGATAAATAGTGATGAATCCTATTCTGTGCTATGTAGAGGGACTGTGTTTTGCATGCGTTTGTTTAATCCTTACCACAACTCCTTGAAGAAATCAAGGAACGGAGATGTTCATCAATTTGCCTGAAGTCACACAGCTTATAAGCAGTGTGGTGGTCTGAATGCTCACACATGTGCATGAAGTCCTCTCTTTTTGCTTTCCTTGAACCAAATTCACTGGCTCTCTCTCCCTAGGAATTATTATACAGAGTTGTATACATGCACCTGAGCCTACTGTGTTTTATGAGGCTCTTAAAGATTGTCAAGCCTCTCCCCTGCCATCCTGCAATGTGGCCTCAGGCACCTCTTGACGTCTTTGGGGGCTGTAAGGAACACAGTTTGACAACCACTGCACTGGGCAATTTCTGAGTGTTTTGCCACCTCTGGCTTCTTGTGACTTGAAGCTAATAATGACAGCTGGCGTGTTGGGGTGCTCACCAGGTACCGGGGCATTTTCCGCCTGCTTTGTAGATTTGCTCCTTTGCTCCCAGTGATAACCTTCGGGGATGGGCACTGTTATATCCGGGTTTACAAATGGCACGACTGAGGCACAGAGAGGTTGAGTTACTTGCCCAGGATGACACAGCTAGGAAGGGTTAAGGTGGGAAACAAGCTTATGCTGACTCTGGGGCCCTTTCTCCTCATCCTCTGGCCACACAGCGTCCAACCTTGCCTGGCGCTGGTTCTAGAGTCCCTGAACACTGTGGGGCGGTGTGTTTCCAAGGAAACGGAGCTTCCAATACCTAAGGGAATGGGAAAGGGCAGGTGAAGGCCTTGGGAGTCCCCAAGAGAACCCCAGGCAGCAGGGGGTTCTCTCCCCTGACGCTGCCAGACTTCCCTCTGGTTGCGGTTGCGGAAGCTGAGCCAAGGACCTGAGCGTGCTGGGACGTTGGTTGGAAGCCCGCCACCCAGAGGCCTGGCCACAGGAGAGCTCTTGGCTTCTCATTCATCCAAGTCATTAATATTCCCTCTCTCCAGCCCCTCTCCCTTAAACAGCACACAACTGCCGTCAGTCTCTTAGCCAGAGCTGTGGCCTCTGGGAAAAAACAGTGGCCCCATTTTCCCCTTGAAAGGTTCCCTGGCCGGGGAAGGGCTGAGGCCTTGACTCTGCCATGTGCCATCATTTCTAGGCTATCAGACAAACAAAGAAGCATCTAAATTTTACAAAGACTCTTCTAGGGAAAAATATCTTTAAGCATTTATTATTCATTCCTTGAAGGTAACTTTTAAGTCAAATTCTGGGGACAGGCATAGTATTTTATTTATGTAAAAACAGTATGCTGTGTTCTAGAATCCATTATGAAATTTTAAATTCTAGATAAGCAGTAACTTTTCTATCAAACATAAAAGAAATGTATAAAGTTTCTTTGAAAAACCCAAGTGTATCAGGATCAAAGGATACTGGGTTGCTAAAAGGGCCATGGTAAGCACACACTTGATTAAGTATTTAAATACTCCTACATAGAGTAACTCCTGGAGAAGTCAGCAGAGAGAGCATGGAGGTAATTCTGCAACACTGATGGTGGGGTGGAGTCCAGAGCCAGGGAGGGGACAATCTAACCTGTCTTTCTCTGTCCTGGAGGGCTGTCGTCGGCTCTGGGCATCGCCCAGTGACATACTGGTGCATCCAGAGGATGGTGCCCAAGTGATAGGGAGCTTTGTAGGCCCATGTTTGCTTACAGAAGTTCATGGCACTGGGGCGCCCTGGGTGGCTCAGTTGGTTAAGCGTCTGCCTTCGGCTCAGGTCATGATCCCGGGGTCCTGGGATTGAGCCCCGTGTTGGACTCAGCAGGGCATCTGCTTCTCCCTCTGCCTCTCCCCGCCCATGCTTTTTCTCTCTCAAATAAATAAATACAATCTAAAAAAAAGAAGTACATGGCCCTGAGTGTGAAATATATCTCAGGTTATTACTTTTGGGGACCATAGGCAAGTCACAAAAACTTTGCCAGCCTCAGTTTCCTTCTCTGTAACACAGAGACAAATGTCTGCCTTCCAGAAAGGCTGGGAAGGGTTTAGGAGGTAATGCGTGCAGTGCCAAGCAACCTGTAAAGCCTCAGGGTTGATGATTCTTATGATAAAATAAGTAATAATACAATGTTGTGTTATCATTGTAATAATCATCCTTATCATTACTCACAAATATCTTTATTGTTAATCATTTTGATAGTGCTGTATTTAACTTATATCTGATACAGGTTTTATAGATGATATATAGTATATCTTGTATATATCATATAATAATGATCAGATTACTAATGAATATTTTGTATACATAATTGTGTCAATATTTTTGTCATTCATCACCACCCACGGAGGGTCCAGTTTTCCTCTCTCACTCAAGTTCGAGCTTAGGGCTGCTAGAGCCAATTGGATTATTTGGGGAGCAAAGGGGTTTGGGTCCTGGGCCTACAGAGTTGGAGCAGAGAGCAGTTCAAGAAGCAGAGAAGCTGATGCCCGTTGGCTGAAGGTGTGGCCTTGGACCTGTCACTGACCCTCTCTGAGCCTTAGTCTCCCCACCTGTGAAGGAGTATGATTGTCACTGTTGTCATCATGGTGGTCCATCCTAGCCTCCCTCCTAGACCCAGCCCTTGGGGATGGTGGCTGGGGCCGGGCGGGGGTGTGAACAGATGCCCCCCACCCCCCGCAGGAGTCGGGGCTGTCGGTGTGGATCGGTGGGCAGCTGCACCCGCTGGAGAACGTGCCCCCTGCTCTGGCTGTGCTGCTCATCACTGTTGTCGTGGCCTTCTTCACCGAGTTTGCCAGCAACACGGCCACCATCATCATCTTCCTGCCCGTCCTGGCAGAGCTGGTGAGAGTCGGGGGGGCGGTGGGAGGCTTCAGAAATCTCTCCCCTGCCACGAGGAGCTCCATCCCGGCTACAGGTGCCTTTGCTCTCTTCCAAAATGCATGCAAGTGTCAGACCCTGATTGTCTTTCTTTAAGAAATACGCAGGGTGAATACTTTCAAAGTGTACCAAATTTTCTTCCTTTGGAGACTTTTCTAGGAAAATATAAATTTTCAAATGTGGACTAAGACAAAGTAGGAAATCTAAGTAGACAAATAACCACAGGAGAAATTCTAATGGTAGACGAAGTTCTAAGCTCCCTCTAAAGAAGGGTTTCTCAGCACTATTGGCATTTGGGGCCAAAGAATTATCTGGAGGGCGGTCCTGTACGTTGTAGGATGTTCCTCAGCATCCCTGACCTCCATCCACTAGGTACCAGTAGCACTGCCCTAAATCGTGACAATCAAAAATGTCTCCAGACATTGGCAAATGTCCCCCGGTTGGGGAGACAAAACCATCCCCCGTTGAGAGCCACCACCCTAAAAATCACTAGCCAGTCCTCGGAGGGTCGGCTAGGTGAGACCTAGCAAACCCGCAAAGAACAGCCAGCTCCCACCTTACTTACACTGTTTCAGAGCACAGAATAATGGAGAAAGCCATCCAATCCAGGAATAAGGTGAACAAAAGCCAGACACCAAAACCAAAGAAGGACAGCAAAGGGGAAAAAAATAGTCACAACTCCATCTCACACATGAACAAAGATGCAAATAAATAAAATGCAAAATAAATCTAGAATCATGCAAAAAGAACAATATATCGTGATCAAATGAGTTTGTGTTCAGAATTTCAAAACCGATTAACACTAGAAGCAATCAGCAGAGTTCTATATTTAAATAGATTAAAGAAGACCAAGCCATATGATTATCTTAATAGAATCCAGAACTCATCACATTAAATCAGTGTGGCAACTACACGCTTTGTATGTCAAAGGTGATATACCAGGCACACTTACCCAAGCCACTTTTTTTGGTTTTTGTTGGCTTATTTTTGCATGAATTTGTAATGGAGATCACACTGTGTTAGCATACAGAGATGTACTTTATCCTTTTTCAGTGGCTAGGGGATATTCTGTTACGAGTGGATAGCGGTGGGTCTTTTTAAGATCTCTACTGAGGGACACGTAGGTCGCTTCCAACCTTTGCTGTGATCCAGCAAAGCCTCCTGGACCCTTCCTTGTCTGTGCACCTTTGCTTACATGCCTGGATGAGATCCCTGGATTGAAGAGCATGTGCATTTATAATTTTGCTAGATGTGGGCAAATTGTCGTAAAGTGGGCACGCCATTTTACACCCCCACCAGTAGTGTGGGGTGGGGGTCTCCAAACCTTGCCAAGTGTGATTTGATTGAATCACACCCTTCCCCGGGATCTGAGGGAGCAGATGATTGAGAGAGATGGGGGCGCTGTGGGGTGTCGGGGAGGAGAAGCGTGGACCCAGCCAGGTCTGTTGGAGCAACTTTTGCTGGAGAAGACACTAGTGAATGACACAGTGTTCTAAATGGTGCTTATTATCAAAACCAAGATGCTTTACATGTCAGGGAGTGAATTTAGCACTTTTTGAGAAAATGTGTATGCTTTGGGTTATCAAAATTCCCTCGAGGGGCCAAAAAAATGTCCCATCTTAAATACAGTAGTAGAGAGGAGACCAAAATGAATTGTAGACGAATACGTCATTTGGGAGAGGTGACAAACCAGCCCACCGAATGAGGCCAACACACAGATGCGTTTGATTCACACAGTCTTAGAAATTGGGAAAAGCTTCTCAGCAGATGCAATCTCAAACTCTCTGTGTCTCCGAAATCTGGTGACACCCCAACTAACGGTGCCCGGGGACTGGCTATGGGGACTGTTTGGCTGAGGGAAGGACCAGGCAGGGGACTCGGTATGTTAGAGCCTCAGCTGGGAACTTGTGAGGAATGCAGGCTCCTGGGGTGACCCCAGACCTGCGGAGTCAGAAACTCTGGGGGAAGTGGGGCCAGCAAGCTGTGTTTCAGTGAGTCGTCCAGGTCTGAGGATACACTCTCAGGCTGGAGAAGGTGTGTTCTAGAAAAATCTCCCCAGCCCAAGCTTGCGGCCCCGGAATGTCACTAACCTTGGGGATGTCTTCTCCGTGTGTCCCTTGGTTTGGGTTCTTTTCTCGTCTGTCTCTGCTTTTGCCTGTGGATCTGCGTTTCTGGCTGCATGTCTCTGTGTCTCTAAACCTGTCTCCTCGGCCGCTGCGATTCTTCTCGGCCGCTCTGCCCATCTCTGTCTGTACGTCTCTATCATTGTGTCTCTTTCTGTCTCTGTCTTGTGGTTGTGGCTTTCAACCATCTCCATCTGTTGCGGTGGCTTCTCTCTGTTTCCCTGTCGTGGTCTCTCCCGCACCCGGACCAGGCCATCCGCCTGAGAGTGCACCCCCTGTACCTGATGATCCCCGGCACAGTCGGCTGCTCCTATGCCTTCATGCTCCCGGTCTCAACACCACCCAACTCCATTGCCTTCGCCTCCGGACACTTGCTGGTCAAAGACATGGTGAGTCGGGGCTCGACCCAGCAGAGGCCTGAGAGGGGGCGGCCAGCAGGTGCTGGGCAAGACACCTGGGCGGGGCCCCCACTCCTCCACCCCCCACCCCTGCAGTCTCTGAATAAGTCATTTGGAGTGGGACCAGGAATATCTAGGTTTGTTTTAGCAAACACTCTGGGATGATTCTTATGCTTAGACAATTTCGGGAAACACTGCCTTAGCGATGATTTTCCAGAGTCTGCTTCAGGGACAAGGAACTTCCTTCTCTCTCTGGGCACTGTTCTCTTTTCTCGTTCAGCCAAGGGCTTCGTGCCTGGAATCTGTAGGAGAGACGAGCAGCAGGTCGCACCCTGGGGGGCCTGGAGAGCTCCCTCTCCCCTCACTCCCCTGCTGAACCCGCTCCTCTCTCCCTCCTCCTGCCTTCCCTGCCACTTCCCCTCCACTGGCTGCCTGGGGGCACTCAGGGAATGCAAATCCTAAGCTGGTGTAAACCATTTCCCGGTCCAGTCTCTCCAGGCGCAGAGACTCAGGCAGGATAAACCGGGAGGGGAAGGGAGGGAGGCGGTGGGCAAGAGTGAGAGACAGAAAGAGGTCACAGAGCAAACAGAGAGAGAAGCAGGAGGCTGGTGTGCCTGGAGCAGAGTTGGGAGGGTGAGGCCAGAGGCCTGGGGGAGGGCAAGGGTACAGAGCACGCAGGGCACAGATTTGGGATCTTAGGCAGCTCGCAGTGGGAGGGCTTAAAAGGTATTTGAGCAGGGCCATCCATGCAGGTAGGCTGGGTCCAAGAACCCAGGGGAAGGTCCCACAGGACCCGCCAAGAGGGTCCTTGGCTTCGCCCAGGACAGAAATCAAACGTGAGCCAGAGAAAGTGAAAACAGAGTTTATTGAATATCGTGAGTGACAGACAGAGTAGTAGAGGAAGTGTCTGGGAGACTCGGAGAGGAGAGAATGAGTCTCATCCTTGCTTGGGGTTAGGGGTTCACACTGGGAAGGGGTCTAGGGAACATCCGTGTGCCTTCAGGAATCCACGGTAGGGTCCCATCAAAGGGAGAGTCAGGTGAACCATAGGCTATTCCAGAAATCACTGGAGGTCGGGGTACGGATGCCACCGTCAGCCGGGGTTGGTTGGAAGCTGATGTCCTGGAATGTGTTTGGGATCTGGCTCTTCTTAGATGTTATCAGGTGTTTAGGGGCTAGGACAGAACTCAGAGAATAATTCACTTTCTTGCTTCCCCCTCGAAATGGGAACACAGCTTCTTTGGCTTATTCAGAGGCAAAGTATGGAACAGGAGTAAACGGGGCCTGGCAGGAAAACAGGCGAGGCGGAGCCTTTCTAAAATGGAGTCCCTTCAGCTTCCCTAATTCGCAGTGACGTGGTTTGACTCCTGCCTTTCCGAGATCACTCTGGCTGCAGGGTGGAGTGGATCTTTGGGGGCTGGGGCTGAGTGTGGAACGGGGAGGCCACTGAGGGAGGGCAGCAGGAGGGCAGAGATGCGACCTAAGGCCTGTCCTGAGAACAAGGGGACAGCGAGAGAAATGGAGAGACATTGTGAGGGATGGAAGAGGCCGAGGGGAACAAGGGGGCAACAGAGGGGCAGACGTGTCGGAGCCAGTCTGGATCCACGTGCCCACCTGCAGGCTCTGCTCCGGAGAGTGATGGTGGAGGTCGTTGACATGACGAATGTGGGACAAAGCAGGCATTTGGAGCCAGGCTCCCAGGAGCCCAGCCCTCCTCCCAGCCACCCCAAAGCTTTGGCCAGTCCCCTTCCGATCCTCCGAAGTTGCCAGGGCTCTTCTGCAGAGGCAGGTCAGCATAAGGCAGTTGGACCTTGTCACTGGGCGTACTCCCTTCACGACTGACGCCCTTTCCACGAGCCATCCGTGGTAATATTGACGTAACAATTCTCCTAAATCAACTGATATTTTTTTAAAAAAGATTTTTATTTATTTATATGACAGAGAGAGAACACAAGCAGGGGGAGGGGTGGAGGGAGAAGCAGGCTCCTTGCTGAGCAGGGAGCCGGATGCGGGGCTCGATCCCAGGACCCTGGGACCATGACCTGAGCCGAAGGCAGATGCTTAACCGACTGAGCCACCCAGGCGCCCCTGAACTTACATTTTTTAAAACACTTTAAATAAGAGTATTTAAAGAGAAGAGTTTCTGACGCATCTGGGCATGGAAAACTGGTATTGTACGCCATCGAAGGTAAGTCTAAAAAAAAAGGCACAGACCAAAAAAGCAAAATAATTACATTTGCCCTGAAACCGATGACCTGGAGAAGGTTCTGAAGCCCTGCTTGCTCAGGAGGACAATTGGCAAGGAAGAGAGAAGTGTTAAGGGCATTGAAAAGAGAGTGACTCTCACCATGCAGTTCGCAGCTGAGCAATGCTAAGGTCAAACAACCAGAAAACCCGGATGAGAAACAGAGATGTTCAGCCCAAGTTTGGACTTAATGGCGCAAGAGGTCAGCCTGGGAAAAAACCAAACAGGCAGACTTGTTCTAGCTACTTAAAAAGGTCAAAATTCCCATAAGACAAATTCCTCACAACAAAAAAGTATGGCCTTAAGTAGACATGTAGTGAGTGTGGATAGGTGTGAGTGTGTATGAGTGTGTGTGTATGAGTGTGTACATGTGTTATCGATCAAACCAGATTATTTTCAAGCTGTGCGACCTGGGTAAGCGCACTTCTCTGAGCCTCGTTTTCCTCTTCCGTAAAGGGGAAGTAATAATAATCACCCTTTGAGGGTGTCATAGGGATGGCACGTCTCTATGACACCCACACCGCACAGTGCCTGGCCCCTAGAAACCACTCGGCGGATGGGGACATTTGCAGCTCTCCGAGGGGCAGCCTAGGGTAGCATAAAGTTGGAAGGGTCTTGGGCATCCACCAGCCTGGATTTGTGTCCTGGAACCATCACTTCCCAGCTGGGAGATCTTGAGTGAGTGAGTTCCTGACTCTGGGCGTGGGTTTTCCCATCTGTACGATGGGCCCTGAGCTGATTCCTCCCTTCACCTGGGCTCCATTTCAGGTGCGGACAGGCCTCCTGATGAACCTGATGGGTGTCCTGCTGCTCAGCTTGGCCATGAATACTTGGGCACAGACCATCTTCCAGCTGGGCACCTTCCCGGACTGGGCCGACATCCACTCAGCCAACATCACAGCACTGCCATCCACCTTGGCCAATGACACATTTCGGACCCTTTGAGTCCCCCTCCGGGACTCTCTCTGGGCTGGGCCCTCCCAGAAGGCTTCTGCCATCACCTGCTGCTAGGACTCTATACGACAATCGAGCAGTTCTTTTCTGTGATCCAGTATGCAGCAAGCAAGAGTGACCTCCAGTGGTCCACTTGGGCCCACAGGCTCATTATCTAGGACACCTTCTCCTTCTCTTTCATGGAGGTCAGGGCCCAGATATCTCCCAGATCTGCTGCCAGAGAAACAAGCTCCTTTATCTCTGAGCTGTTCTATGGCTAGGATGCAAGAGAGCCCTATTTCAGCAACAGGAAGCAAACTGGAATATGGCATTTGACTTAAACCGTTGGAATGGGGGTGGGGGCATCAATTCCTATGGGCACCGCTAACATCCCGCATGACCTACTTTAGGTTACACTCTGGAGAGATCATCTTGCCTTTAGATGTCACCTTCCTCGGAGAGGCTTTTGGGGCTGCAGTGTACCAGCTATTTGCAACCACGGTGTGTCCTGCTCGGTTGGTGCCCATTCTGTGCCCGTTGTTTGAATATGACCCCTGCTGGTACACCGCAGCCGGGGTTACTTTCAATCGCTGGAGACAGGGGAGGGACAGATAACCTCCTGAGGACAGGGAGGCTGTGCAAATCCTCCTTGCTGCGCCTCTGGGGGCCTGAGTACACCAGGGGAGTTCTAGAAACCCCCAGCTGACATCTCTACCTAAGCTTTTTAGGATTTTCCTGTTTAATCTGATTCAGTTTGACCATAATTCTGGGGTCAGGCCAAGCCCCGGCCCTACCGTCCTTTCAGCGAGGACTCTCCTACATGTGGCCCGCAGGGGCCTTTGTGGTTACCCGCTACTCCTTATTCCAGCAGCTGGTCTTTACCTCCCTACCTGTACCCCGAGGGGTAAGCATGTTTAATTAGCAAAGCCACATTTTTCAGGAATGAGGGGGAAAAAAAAAGTCAGAAGATACATTGGGGCCTCATAAAAGGCCAGGGTAAAATTTCTCAGGCAGACAAAATATCGTAACCTTCTTCTGCAGAGGGGGCCAACGGAGACTTCCCCTGAGCCAGTGGCTGGTGGGGGCTGTCCTAGAAGATCTGATCCCTCCTTGTTTCCAGCAGAAGCATCTGGGCATCCCCAGTAAATAGCACAGTATCAGGCCCAGCAGGAGCTCAGGATGTGGAATGAGTGATCCAGCATTAGTCAAGGTGCCCGTGGGGGATCTGGAAGCCTCATGTCTGCCCTTCTTACACGTCTGAGGGATGAAGTTCCCTGAGCAGTATGGGCTGGGATGGCGGCACCCAGAGACTGGACTCGTCCTCAGTACGGCACGAGTGAGTCATGGATGTTTCCCTGGGGGCAGCGGGGAGGAGAGAGGAGGGACCCCCAAGTTGGAGAATGGGCTTCACCTCTTCCCACGTGAAGACTTTAGAATTCAATCAGAGTTGCAGCCCATGGCAGTTGGGAGCAGCACTCCTGGAGAACAGGGATGGGAGAAGTCCATCCGCAGAGAAACCCATGGTACTTGTAACCAGATGATTCGTGATTTCAAATAGTTCTGATTGAAAATGCTATAAAATAAAAAGTGTTCATCAATACTGGGCCTACAGATTATTTGCTTTCTGGGCATAAGAGAGCTTTCCTTTTTTTTTTTTTTTTTTTTTAGATTTTTTTTTTTTGCCAAGAGAGAGACACAGCGAGAGAGGGAACACAAGCCCGGGAAGTAGGAGAGGGAGAAGCAGGCTTCCCGTGGAGCAGGGATCCCGATGCAGGGCTCAGTCCCAGGACCTGGGGATCATGACCTGAGCCGAAGGCAGATGCTTCGGCTAGATGCTTAACGACTGAGCCACGCAGGCGCCCCAGGTGCCCTGGCATAAGAGAGCTTTAAGGTGCCGAATTCCTGAGCTGGGGGTTCCACGGAATTGACCTCCCTGACTTCACTTCCCTACTGCTCTCCCCTCTCCACTCCAACCACGTGCTTATACTGCCCTGCCTCAGGGCCTTTGCACATGCTGTTCCCTTTGCCAAGAACACTTAGCTTCCAATTATGAGCTTATTTCCTCACTTTATTCAGTTCTCTGCTCAAACGTCACCTCCCCAGAGACTCTTCCCTGACCATCTGGTGTAAAATCTTGCTCTCATTACTGTCCGTCTCCTTACTCTGCTATATTTTCCTTCTTAGTGTTTAGCCAGGCCACTGGATTATGTATTTTCTTGTTTATTAACTTTCTCTCCCTCTGGAATACCAACTTATCAGAATATAAACTTTATTTTGTTGAGTGCCATAACTCTGGTACCTAGAATGGTTTCTGACACATAACAAGTGCTCAGTAAATATTTGATTAATGAATCTATACCAGAATTTATGAGAAGGCAATCTCGCCCTCTGGTCCATGGTCTGTCCTATTCATTTCTTTGCTCACTCCTTCTTCCATTTATTCATTCAACGATATTTATTTAAAACCTGACTATGTGCTCATTCACTGTCCCCATCCACATGGAACTTACATGCTAGCTGAGGAGATACACAGTGGGCAGGTAAACAAGTAAATGAGATGACTCTGGGTCATGGTATGAGCTAAGAAGAAGATGAAACTGGACAATGTGACAAACTGACTCAGAAGCTACTTCAAACAGGATGGTCAGGGAGGACTTCTCTGAGGAGGTGGCATTAGACTGAGACCAGAAGGAGTCAGTCACGTGCTCATGGTGGCATGGGAGGAAGGTGGGTGGTATGGGTGGTACAGGATCATTGGAAATATATATGAGACTCATGTCTGGAATACAAGAGGAACATCCAGAAGTCAGAAAGAACAAACACAAAACAAAACACCTGTTTTAGTTACTGTGGTTATATAACAAACCACCCAAAACTCAGGCCCTAGAACACAGCAACTTACTGGCTTATGTCTCTGCATTTTAAATTTTTTGTGGAGAGAGAGAGAGAGAGAGACTTTGAGCAGGGGAGGGGGTGCAGAGGGAGAGGGAGGATGGGGAGAGAGAATCTTTAGCAGGCTCCACGCCCAGCGCAGAGCCTGACTCGAGGCTCAATCTCACGACCCTGAGATCATGACCTGAGCTGAAATCGAGAGTCAGACGCTTTACCCACTGAGCCACCCAGGCACGCCATGTTTCTGCATTTAGATAGAGCTCTGCAGGGATGGTTTTGTCTCTGCTCTACATGGTGTGGCCGGGGTCACTCAGCGGGGAGTTTAGCTGGAGCTTGAACATCCACGATGACTGTGGAGCCTCCAGGGAGTCTAACCCAAACGTCTGAACCCAACAGTGGGCTTCGCAGAAGGCAAAAGCAGAAGCTTAAGGTCTGGGCTTGAGAGTTTGAGAATTCAACTCTGCCACATTCTATTGATTAAAGCAAGTCAAAAGTTGGCCTGGTTCAAAGGGAGGGAACTAGGTTCCACTCCTTCGTGGGAAAAGTGACATCCTCATGCAGAGACGGGAGGAGCCTTGGTCACTCTCTTTGGAAGGCTCCTACCGTAACACCTGCCAGCAGGATGAGGGCGAGATACGGCTGTGCCATTTTGAAGCAGGCTGTCAAAATGGCCAGAGCTCGATAAAGACATGCTCCAATCCACTCGTAATCAGATAAATGCAAGTTCAACCAAGATGCAACAACACACCAACCCGACCGACGGAAACTAGACAAGCGGACAAGAAGTGATGATGGAGCAGGAGAAGACAGACACCCTCTTGTGCTGCTGGGGTGACTGTTACTTCCAACGGTCAGCCTGGCAAGCAATGTGGCAGTAATTAGGGGAATTCATTACCTGCTTTCCCTGTGGCCCACTTTTCCTACTTCTGGGTTCATATCCCAGCAAAATTGTCCCATGGTCCCTCCAGAGACGATGTAGGAGGATATTCGGGCCACTGCTGTTGGAGGTACCCAGGAGCTGGAGACCAGCTAGGTGACCTTCATGGGGGTGGGGGGAGTGATGGCATTTAAGTGAAACATGGGGAAGCTCACTATGGAAAACACAGCAACACACAGAAGTGATGAACAATAAGTACACGGAAGATTTGGATACACACATACATATTCTGGCACATAGATCAAGAACTTACAGAGTCAAGGGGGCAGAGGGATGGAGGCAGTGATGGCAGATGAAAACAAGATGAATAAATGCCACTGAACGAGGGGTTCAGTGAGCCTCTCTGGACCCCTGGCTCTGCCCGTAACATGCTGTGTCACCTTAGGCAGGTCCTTTATGTCTTAGACTTTGGAGAGATAAGGGTGCATAGAGTCAGGGTCCCGGTCTCAGAAGGCAATAGTAAGCACACAGACTAGTTATTTGAGGACAGCTTAGTAGTGGGTCTAGTTCCAAGGTGTGGGCAGATGGTAAGGGAAACCACGAGGGAAAATGCGAGTCCTCGGTGGAGGGAGGGAGGAGCACCTCCCAGCCGAGGCTCTGAGGGACAGAGGCCAAAGGGGGGCTGGCACTTTTATTCCTTACAAGACAGCCCCTGATGACTCTGAAAGGGGAAAGCTGCCCTGGATCTTTCTCTACATCCTCCCTCAGCTCTCCTGCCGGCACTCTCCATGACCAAACCCAACCTTATCGGCCAGTGTTCTCCAGAGAAACAGAACCAACAGGATGGAATATATTCAGGCAAGAGTCCAAAGGCAATCTGCCGGCATCCCTCTTGCTCAGGGAAAGTCAGTCTTTTGCTCTATTCGGACCTTCAACTGATTGGATGAGGCCCACCACATTCTGAGGCAGCAATCTGATTCATTTAAACTCCATTAATCTAAATGTAAATCTCATCCAAAAACACCCTCACAGAAACTTCCAGAATAATGTTTGACCAAATAGCTGGAGGCTGCGGCCCAGCCATGTTGACACAGAAAGCTAACCATCGCACCCACAGAAGCCAGAATGTAGGAGAGTTCTTTGAGGCTGCCCATCCAGGTCTAACCCCAGGGCTCAGGGCAGGGAGGAGAAGAGTGGAGACAGGGTCTGGAGGAGCAAACTGAGAAAACATAGCAGGGAAGGTTTAGACCAAATCAGAGCTTGTAATCTAGTGGTCCCCAGGTCGGCATCCATCTCACAATCAGGTGTTTTGGGACACCTTTCATGTTTTAAACTATTAATTGATTGCTAATATTCTTAAATTCAGAAAATTTCACATTAAAACCCTGATTTGTGCTTCTCTTGGAAAAGAAAAGACCAGAAGTTCTGGCAACATGGGGCCCTATCGTTACCTGGCAACAATTGTTTGGAGTTGAGTAGTGGTGAAGGGAAAACTCAAACTGATAGGTGAACTCTCTTGTTTGCCACAGTCCCCACCCTTCCTTAATGCCTTAAACTGACTCTCTTCATTTTAAAAACACCAGATTTTTAAAACTGAGTACAAAAAATAAAGATAAAATATCCCCCTAGTAAATTTTATATTGATTATATTTTGAGAAGATAAGGTTTGGGATATATTAGGTTGAATAAAACTTTTATTAAAAGTTGAATAAAAATTTTGTTAAAATAAATTTCACTTTTTTATGTGGCCACTAGAAAATTTTTAATTATATACATGGCTTGCATTCTGTTTCTATTGGGTAGCATCGTCTATTTGGTAAGATTTTAGCCACCTCTCCATATTCTCAGGCTGAGTGGATGGTGGCAATATTCTATGCCCACGGGCTATAAAATTCAATGACTCCAAAATTCTTTGGACCTCTGTTGCTGATCCTAGATCTGAAGGCTTACCACTTCCTCTTCCTGCACTGTCTTATGGTTCTGAATCCTCCACCCAGAAATTCCCCTCAAAAAGCTAATTCTATTTTGGATGATTCAGAAGACCCTTCCGGATGCTGTGGGATTTGGAGCCAGGCCAGCTTTATGTAGGCAGAAGTGACTGCCTACATGTGCTGAGAAAAGCCAAAAATATCTTCTGCCCTTTCCTTCCCTATACCACCAAACTCCCAAATCCTACACATTCACCAGAGGTCTTCAGGAAATGACCAACATGGTCCTTTAACCAGTCTTGGGGCCAGTGCAGAAATTAGGCAAAGCCTGGTTGGTGCCTGCCAGGCCCTGCTCCCCTCTGACCGGCACAATGCTCTAAAGTTCCCTATGTGATGGGGGGCCCCGCCAGGGATCTGGCCCAGTGGGCGTCACAGAAGCCTGTATAATCAGGTCTAAACAGCCTGGGGCTCACTTAGGCAGAGTTGTCAGTCCAGGTGGGAGAGGGCAGGAGCATGTATCTATTTACTGGATGCTCTACATACATTATTCCACTGAATGCTCAAGCAATCCTAAGAAGGAGATACTAGTAGTCTCATGATAGCAAAGCCCACACAAGTTCAGAGAAGGACAGTGTCTTGTCCGTAAGTGGCAAAGCTGGCTTTCACGTGTGGATCTTCGACCCCCGGCCCAGAGCACCCGCGGTGCGGAGGGACAGCTAGGCAGCTCCCGCACCAGCCCTACTGAGGCTTCCTGCAGAGGCTGGAAGTCGGCGGCCCTCATGCTGGCTTTGGCCCACAGACTTGGTAAGACTGGCCGGCCCAGAGGTCTTTTTTTTTTAATGCTGGCTTTAAAAAACTTGGAGACTTTTACATAAAAAAGGGAATGACTGGCATCTTTGGAAA